AAGACCAGCGCGCGCTGCCCGGGGCTCAGCGGAGCGGCTGTGCCCCCGTGTGAGCCACCTTAGCACCGAAGCCCCGCGGCAGCTCCAGCGCCTGAGGAAGCAGTTCACGGTGACTGGTTTGTGACACTCTCCCTCCGTTGTGGGCATAAAAATCTAATTTGGGGACCTGTCTCAGAAGCCCACTATCACCGAATGCCTATCTCCAGTCTCCCCACATTTACAATGACAACAGACACAGACACGGCAACGGGAGGGAAGCCCAGTGGTCACGAGCACTGACCACAGGTAGCCTCAAGCAGCGGCTCCCAGCTGGAAACGCTGCACCCGCAGACAGGCCTCTGCAATGTGAGACCTGCACCCCCAGCCCTGCCGCAGACAGGGAGGTTCCCACGCCTATTTATAGTCCAGCCAAGTCCCCAGGAGTCTCAGATCCAGCAGAGGAAAGTTTCCAGGGCTTCCTGGCTTCCGCCGGAGGAACTGAAGCCTTTGCTGCTGCTGCCACCTATAGTGAAAAGTGGGAATTCGGAGACGAGAAAGCCCACTGCCAGCCGCCCTTGGGTCCCCCACACACCCCCTTGAGGCAGGCTGACTCTGCTTTCCAACTCCTGAGGTCATCTCGTCCTGGGGTCACTGAGCACGAAGCTAAGGCCATTCGTGCCAGCCCAGATGACAGACAGGAAGGTTCCAGACAGTCTTGGCACAAAAGTCAATGTTTAGCGACGGTGTTGACTGAGGCAGACCAGAGGGAAGGGGAAACAGGGCATTACCAACAGGAAGGCACCTCTCCCTGGAGCCCTCGCGGCGCTCTGCGTGAGCCCCCTGGGCAGCACGTGGCGGGGACCAGTAGCAGCAGCTCACGATTTGGTGCTATTGGCTTTGGTGGCTTTGGTATGGTTGCCATTCCTTTTCATTTCCTTCAAGTTAAAATATTTTTGAATTTGAGAGTTCTGAAAATAAAAGAGCAATGGGGTTAGCACAGGTTGGCAGACAACGGACTTCCTTGGTTAGCTCATCAAGCCACCGGATGGGGCCTCTGGCTTTGCCAGACCATCACAGGGTTTGCAGGCTACTGGAGACCCGCCTGGAGACCTCAGGCAAACCTTCTGCGGGAAAGTCACACTCAACTTAGGACGCCCACCTGGAGGGACCCCAGGTGAGCACCACCTGAGCACGCTCCTCCTCCCAAGCCTCAGCACCCCGACTCACTCAACACGACACAGCTCCTGCCAACCCTCTTCCTCAAAAACAGCCAGAAAAAAATCACTTCCAATGCGGGTCGCCTCATGTTACTTTGTTGCTTAGAACATTCCAGTTGTCAGATGCAGCCTGAGCCCAGCTACTCCTCCTGCTGCCTCCCGCCTGGAATCCCCAGGCCTCTGCCACGCTGGCCTATAGGAGCTCCTTCTCCTTCCCATGCAGACTCTTTAAGTATCCAGGGATTGTAACCTCCTCCTGGGACCCCCATCCCCTCCCTCCCTACCACACTCCTCCCATCCTACGTGGGGGGCCTCAGAGGCACCTGGGGTCTGGGTAGAAACAGCCTGCTGCCCATCTATACTCCACCTCTGGCTGGGGTGGGGTGCCACCTAAGAATCTGTATGGCTGACAAGTTCCCTGGGGACACACAGCAGACGGTCCTGACACCGTTTCCAGTGCCACTTCCTTGAGGAGCCTCCCTGGACAGCCGCCAGGGCCAGCCTCTCGCCCGCACATGGTTGCCCCTCACATCCTTGGTCCAGCTTGCAAGATGCGCCTGTGGATGAGTCACTGACCAAGGCCTGGCTCCTGCTGGACTTGAAATTCCATCAAGAATTCTAGAGCTGAGCTGATTTATGCTATCACTGCCTCCCAGATCTTACGCTGGTGACAAATTCAGAGTTCCAAAAGGCACAGTGAAGCTTCCCCTCCTGAAGCCTGGCAGCCGAGACAGAAATGCTCTCTTTTCCGTCAGCCAGTGGGCAGTCTCCCTCTGATCTGGAGAACGCTCCCTGCCCTCTTCGTCCCTGATGCCACTGTCCATCTTCCCCACAGAAAGAGCCTTTCCAATCCCTCCCAGCTCTCTGCTCTTCCTCTGCCCCATCCGCCTCTTCACCAGGACTCATCTTCCTCATGCACAAATACATTATTCCCCTGCTTAAAAATACAGGACGCAAATTATACACGAGAAAAAGCATCTAGGAAAAAGTTTGTGCATAAAACCTGGTAAAATCCGAACAAAGCCTTCAGTTTAATTGGCACTGACTCTCGTTAAATTGGTTTTGATCACCAGGCCATGGTTATTCTGCAGGATGGGATCATGAGTTCAAGCTGGGAGTGCACAGCAACTCCTGCTCTAATTTTGTAACTTGTAGATGAAACTAAAATTGTTTCATATATATATATATATATATTTTAACTGCAATACTTCTCCAGAACCTACAAGCCGAAACTCCAACACTTACCTGTGGGTGGGCCACTGACATGACTAACAACCTGGCCAGGGTGACTGCCCAAGGCCACTCCCCCCACACAGGCTGTTTCCACACAGTGCTCCAACTGCCCATCAAGTTCTTCCCTCCAAAGTTCCAGTTCATGCTTTTGCTAGAATGATCTTCAGCCTTGTCCACCTGGCACATTTCAATTCATCTTTCAAGACTGAGGGTATAGCCCCTTCCTCCATGAAGCCTCCCCAACCACCTTCAAAAAATCTATCAAGCCTCTGCAGAGAGCCAAGGCCCCAGGTGTGCTTGCTGTTTTATTTAATAAAGGGGGAAAACATCAAAGGTGCTGCATAAGATTTGCAGCGTAAGCACTGCTATCCCCACCCGTCTCCTCACGCTACCTGGACTTTCACTGTGATTCTCTGTGTCAGGCTTTTCCGTTGGCCCTGCTCATCAGGGAGCCCATCCGGTGAAGGGGCTCTACTAACTTTCTAGACCTGGCATGGGCTGGAAGACAGTGGGCAGTCCATTCATTTCTCCTGGTGGACCACAGTTACTAACTCCTCAGGCTGCAAGGGCAGGAAGTCTGGGCTAATTTTACCCTCCACTGGGAAAGCTGAACAATGTTCTGAGTCTGACCAAGACACTGGTGAGTGCCTCCGATTAGGTCTTCTAAGTAAGGAGATTTCCGAGACATTAATGAATGTGATAACTTCAGAGCTTGGTGAGGCAGAGATTAGCAAATCAGCACCTGTCTGGGTACAGAGGTGCATGCCTATAATCCCAGCAGTTTGGGAGGCTGAAACAGGAGGATTGGAGGTTCAAAGCCAGCCTCAGCAACTTAGCGAAAGCCTAAGAATTTAGCAAGACCCTTTCTCAAAATAAAAAATAAATTATTAGACAGGCAAAGTGGCACACACCTGTAATCCCAGCAGCCCAGGAGGCTGAGACAGGAGGACTGTGAATTCAAAGCCAGCCTTGGTAACAGTGAGGCACTAAGCAACTCAATGAGACCCTGTCTCTAAATAAAATACAAAATAGAGCTGGGGATGTGGCTCAATGGCTGAGTGCCCTTGGGTTCAATCCCTGGTACCCCTCCAAAAAAATTTATTTATTTATTAAAAGGACTGGGGTGGCTCACTAGTTAAGTGCCCCTGGGTTCAATCCCCAGTACCACAAAAAAAAAAAAACCCTAAACAAAACAATAACAACAACAACAACAAAGCAGTACCCTCCAAATAAGCACAAAGTCACAGATTTTCAGATACACTTCTTCACCACGGGCCAAAACACAATTAGAAGGCTCTTCCCCTGATGTATTTGTTTATTTGCCAAAGAAGTATTGATGTCCAGCTTTTAACAGATGCTATTTATATCAGAATCATAACAAAAGTGCCATCCATCTGCCTTGGCATCCAGAGAAAACACAATTCAACACAAGAGTAAAAAATGTGCGCAGCCAAACAGAGATGGCACCAAAAGCAAAAATTATTGGAACTGGTAGCTTGGGGGAGGTGGTTGGGGATTAGCACTTGACTACATTGAAAAAAACTATAAGCAACACAAAAGATCTTGGCAGTTAAAACCAAATACTTGAGAAAAACCTCTCCTCGTCTATTCCACTGTCAAATGGATGGTCTGTCATATCTGGGGACACATATTATGAAGCTCCCTCTAAGACTTCCATTTGCTTCCATGTATCCCTCAGTCATTCACTGAGCGTCTGTGCTTTGGGACAGTGGGAAAAACAAAGGACTTGGAGTCAAGCAGACATGGGGTCAAACTGGCTCTGCTATCTACTGTGCAAACTTGAAAGTTAAATAACCTCTTCCTGAACCAGTTTCCTCATTTGCAAAATGGAAATAACATTTCTCCTTAAAACAAGTATTCTTAACCTGGAATCTAGGGACCATGTGTCCACACATGTGCATCTGTAAATCCATAAACTCTGAGATTGAATACACACTTGTATGTGATTTGACTATCTTTGCTTTACACAGAGCAAGTGACTCCCCCCCAAAAAAAAAATGTTTAAATCTACTAAAAGCCAGGAAAGGACTCCAGCTCACATCCCTGAAGTGCCTGGCACGCAGTAAGCTTTCACTGTTTGGTTGCCATTCCTCTTTTCAGGTCCTTGGAATGTACAGAAAGATAAACCAGAGCACCGGACATATGTCAGGCAGACTGTTGCTGTGTAGGATACTAAGTTTTGCCGGGTGCGGTGGCGCACCCCTGTAATTCCAGTGGTTTGGGAGGCTGAGGCAGGAGTATTGCCCCAGCAACTTAGTGAAGTCCTAAGCAACTTAGGAAACCCCTGTCTCAAAATAAAAAAAAATAAAAAGGGCTGGGGATATGGCTCATGGTTAAGGCTCAATCCCTGGTACAAAAAAAAAAAAATAGGATGCTAAGTGTCATCTCAGGATATTAAAGGATGATCACAGAGAACAAAGCAGTCCAGAACACCCCTGCAGGAGGTGCTGACAGGCAGAGGTGCTGACAGGCCAGAGGCACCCCAAGTGCCAAGAGAGGGAGGTGACTACTGCTGCAGCACCTCAGTGCCTTGGCAGGGCCTGGCAGTGGGCAAGCGCTCAATGAATCGCTGCTAAGGAAATGAACAAGTAAAGGACCGAACCAACCAAGGGGACAGGATAACACTGTTCACAAAGTCCCACAGTGGAGGCAATCAGAGGGCGTTACTGGAAACGATTATTCAGGAATCTTTAATTTCAATATTCAGTTCCAACACAGTAGCCCACACACTCCCTGATAGTGGAACGCTAAGCCTCCACTTCCCTCACCCACCTGTAACCCAGGCCCTTCCCAGTCTCTGAGATGAGCCCCACGAGAAAGTTCTCTTTGATCTAGGTAACACAGAACTGTTATTCCAGGAGGAACTAAAAGGTTTTGTTTAGGAGGATAGCAAGTTCAAAGCCAGCCTAAGTAAGGCACTAAGCAACTCAATGAGACCCTGTCTCTAAATAAAGTACAAAATAGGGCTGGGGATGTGGCTCAGTGGTCGAGTGCCCGAGTTCAATCCCCAGTACCAAAACCAAAACCAAAAGTCTTCTTTACTTGTACAAAACGATGCAACTTCCTTCTTTTTTTTTCCTTGGGTTGACAAAATGTGCAGCTAAATTTGCAGTCCAACTCTACTCCTTATCTCCGACGATCTGTGCAATCTCTTCTCTCCTGATGTTATTTTCCCACTCTGTGTGCCTTTTTTCATGATCCTGATTTCCATGTTTCTATTTTACCACATTGCAGGTATTCTTAGAGTCCAAGCCTTGGCAGGATTCGGGGAGTATACAAACACTGGAGAGTGGTAGAGTACTAGTCAAGAACACAGGTTCTATTAGCAGGCCGCCTGGAATAAAGGCCATGTTCTAGCATTTATCCACTTTATAAAGTCCTTTAACCCATGTCCCTGAAAATGGGAAAAGCAACTCCTTTTACACAGGCAGGTTGTGAAGGTAAGCAAAAAAAAAGCATGTGGACCCCAACCCAGGCCAACAACGTAGTAAGTGCTCAACATTATACAAACTAAAGACAAATAGATGGAGAGAAAAATAACAGATGGCACCTGAAACAAGTAAACAAAATAAAAGTCAGAGGTCAAAACCAAGAGAAAGAGAAGTTAAAAGTGAAGCATTTTGCCCAGCACAGTGGCACATACCTGTAATCCCTGAAGGCTGAGGCAGGAGGATCGCTAGTTCAAAGCCAGCCTCAGCAACTTAGTGAGACCCTACCTCAAAATAAAACATAAACAGGGGTGGGGATGTGTCAGGCACAGTGGCGCACACCTGTAATCCCAGAAGTTCTAGTGCAACTCAGTGAGACACTATCTATAAATATAAAAATATAAAAAAGCGCTGGGAGTATGACTCAGTGGTTAAGCACCCCTGAGTTCAATCCTCCGCACCAAAAAAAAAAAAAAAGAAGAAGGCCTTTAGTACAAGAAATATATTATATTCATGTTCTTTAATTACAATTTCCTCAAATACACCCCTCTTCCAAATAGTGAGGGCATCAAAGTGAATTAATATTTAAATAGAATATTACAATAATATAATCAACAAAATTGTGCAAGCCTAGATAAGGAGTATTTTTTTGATAGATACACTTCACAAAAAGACCATTTGTAGCATAAAAGAAAGAAAATTATGGTTGATTTCTTTTCTCACCATTTCTCATATTCATTATGCAGCTTAGTTTTCAATCCTGGAAGGGGAAGGAGACATCCAGGAAACCCTCTTGACTCTCAGCATGTACTAACTTCATACAGTCACTCAATACACATCTGTAAAGAAGATTCACTAAAGCAATGGCCTTGTGAGTGGCCACTGGCATCTGACCACAGTTCTGGGCTGGACAGGAACCATTCTACTGAACATTCTCACAGAGCTGGCTCTGTCTCTAGGTGCTGGTCAGCCGAAGAGGTCACAGCATGAGTGCTGGAGAAATCGCTGTCCACAGGGAAGCAGTGAATGGCTGGAAAGGGGCAGGAAAAAGGCAGACAAAGTTGGAGAACAAAATTTAAGTTCTCAAGTAAATATTTCTTGACATATTATCTACAAACACCTATCACAAATCAAATATTAAACTGAATGTGGAGGGGAAAGGGATAGCATTATATAACTAAAACAGAATCCTTGTCCTCAAAGACACGGTTGGATGGAGGCAAATATATTCACAGATGACCACTCCTGCCTGGCTGACTTTCCAATCCCCAGACCTTCGCTGAATAAACGTTTGCTGAATTGAAGGTAATGGATAAAATAAGGATAAAGGCACCGTAGAGTGTACAAGTAGAATTTATTTATGCCATTTCTGTACGTTTACCCCTTAAGGATTACTAATGAAATTTTTAAAACACTATGAATGTCTCCAAAGTGATGTAGGAGCCTGCTTAATGCGTCAAGACGTCCTCAAAGGCTAAGATTTTCAGGAAAGGAGAGAAAGGGAGGGGAGGGATGATATGGACAACTGTCTTAACTAAGACCAGAATCACACTACATTTCACAAAGTGCTTCCAGACAAAATGAGCGAGATTGGGCAGGGATTGCCATGTGTGGCTATGTGTGGTCCAAGGGGAAGAGTGGGAAAGAGCAGAGATTTGCCACGATACAGAAACGCGTTTGTATTTTGGCTTTGAGGTTTTCTAGTTGTGTGATCTGGACAAACCCCTCAGACTCCAAGTCCTCATCTATAAGCTGGAGTTAATGGTATTCAAGATTGCTGTGGGGCGTGAATGAACACGGGGCACGAAACGTTTTGTAAAACTGGAGCGATCTGAGGCATTTCCGCACACGATCCCTGTCAGATCCTCGAGATCCCGGGAAGATGCCATCACCTTCCACGCTGTTCACTGTCGCTTTCCTAAAAGTCGCGGAGCTCTAGGGGAGCAGGGACCGCCCTGTGGGCAGCAGCCCAGAGCCTACGACGTGCCAGGCACAGGCAGCCGCTCCTGGACGTGCTGGGCACACGAACCACAACCTGCGTCCCAGTGGGCAGCGGCGCTGGGCAGTCTCGGCCATGAGACGCTCGGGCGCCCGCCCGGCTCCTCCTCGGCCCCAGGGCTCGCGCGTCGCCACCCGAATGCACGCGGGGAGAGTGCGCCGTGGCTCGCGGCCTTACCCGGGCCCTGCTCGCGGCTCCGCCTCGCGGGGTGCGCGGACCCTTGGTAACAGAGGCCCGGCCCACCCCGCGTCTTCGCGACGCGGTTGCCAAGCGACGAGCACCCTCGCCGATTGGGCAGTGGACCTCCGCCCTGATAAGAAACAGAGCCGCGATTGGTTGAATGGAGGGCAGCGCGAGGCGAAGGGGGCGGGGCCAGGGTGGCGGATCCGCCTCCGAAAGAACTTCCGCCGGAAGTTCCGTTCCTGGGGAAGTGGAAAGCGGGCGACCGGCATCTTGGCAGCGGGTTTCTGTTACGTGGGCTTTCTCGTCAGGTGAGGCCCGGTCACAGCGAACTGCGTAGGGCCGTGTGGCCTGGGGTAGCGAGTTTCCTTCTCTGAGCTGCGGAGTCTTCGTCTGCTACAAACGAAGCGCAGTCTCGTGGGGCAGAGGCGAGGCTCCTAGCGCCCGGTTCCTGCTAGTTGTCACGCGTGTTCCCCGCCGAGCGCCGTTGCCCTCCAGCACCCCGCTGTCACCCGGGGCCCCTGCGCCGCACAGTGAAGCCGCCCGCGTCCCCGCCCTGCCCCACTTCTGTTAGTGGCGTCCTCAGCGGCCACCGCCGCGTCCCCGCCTCCGGGCTTGCGGGGGCCCCATGTGGGCCGCGCGCCCCAGCTGCATCCGCGCCGTCGCGCTATGAGGTCTTAGGACACGGTCGGACGGCCACCAGGACCGTTCTTGATGACCTCGCTGTCCTCCCGCGGTCGCTGTGGCCACGAAGCACGGAGCCAGTTTGAAGGCACCCAGCTGGCCAGCTCGGGCTGGTTTCTTCCCAGGCCTCTCTGGTTGGCTTGTCCATGGCCCCTGTGTTAGGACCTGCTCTTGTCCTAACACCAGTCTGCTGCATTAGGGCGACTCTAGTGACCTCTTGTTAATTTCCTCCTTGCGGCTTTGTCTCTGGATATGGTTGCATGCTGAGACCGCGAAGTTAGGGCTCCAACGTATGAATGGGAGCTGGACGACACAATTCAGCCCTTAAAGGCATACAGGTGTTGTGTACAAATCATATTCCAAAATGTTTTGGAAAGTTTGAAATTATTTCCAAATTTTAAAACATAAAAAATCTGTGCAAGTATTTATTTTGTTTATAGATTTATTGTCGTTGTCCAATATCATATTGTCTTAATTACTATTATAGGAATAATATTATCTTGGGTCGTCTCTACATTCCTCTCTGTATTTTAAAATGATTTGAGATGACTGATATGAAGGAAGAGATTTAGACTTACATGTCCCCAGAAACAGGAGGCATAGCATGCTACACAAGGCCACCTGGGGAAGCACCCGAGTCAGGAGGCAGAAGGGTGAGGAGAGATGAGGAAAGGAAGCTGGCAGGTTAGCCTTGGCTAGTTAAGGAGAGCTCTAGAGCACTGGGGCAGGAACCTGGCCTTAGAGAGAGAGTGGCAGCCCTGAGGGTAAGAGCTCCAGAAAGGAGGTAGTCTGGGTGTGCACTGGGATGGGGTAGTTTTCATATGAAAACCGGACCTTCTAGGATTTGGCCAAGCCCAGGAGGGGCAGCTGCTCCTTTGTTAGCAAGGCCCCAGATGTCAGAGCACCAGAAAATACAGAAAGTTAAAGCCTTGGGGAGTAACACATGCTGTTTATCCATTCATTTCTTGATAGATGGTTGCGTTGTTTCCACCTTTTGGCTGCAGTCAATAATACCACTATGAACACCAGCTCACAAGTATCTCTGTATTACTAAGTGGAATCGCTGGGTCCTGTAATCCTAAATGTTCCCCTTTGAGGACCCACTAGACAGTTCTCTACAGCAGCTGTATCCCTTCACATTCCCACCAGCAACCGATGAGGGTTCCAATTTCACTACTGTCTTTCAGTTTGGGCTTTGAGATTTTGGTTAGTATGAAGTGGTATTTCAGTGTGGTTTGATTTGCATTCCGCAATGACTAATGATGCTGAACATCTCTCTTTTCATTTGCTTATTGGTCATTTAAATGTCTATTCAAGTCTTTTATCCATTTTTAAATGAGGCTGTTTGTCCTTTTGCTAAGTTGCAGGAGTTGTTTATATAATCTGGATATTAAATCCTTATCAACTATATAATTTGTAAACATTTTCTTCCATTCTTTTCACTCTCCAGTTTTTTTTTTTTTTGGTCCCAGGGATTGAACCCAGGGGTGCTTAATCACTGAGCCACATCCACAGCCTGTTTTTAAGTATTAGAGACAGGGTCTCACTGAGTTGCATAAGGCCTTAATAAGCTGCTGAGGCTAGCTTTGAACTCACCATCCTCCTGCCTCAGTTTCTCGAGCTACTGGGATCACAGGTGTGTGCCACTGCACCTGGCTCCCTCTCCTAGTTTTTATGTTCATGAAGTGTATTGATTTTTTAAAATTCCTAATCCAATTAGGCATTGCTAGCATATAATATAGATATGTGATTGATTTTGTATGCTGATTTTATATCCCATGATTGATAAATTCATTAATTTTAATTAATAAGCTTTGTACTTTCAGACTTACCCAGTCTTATCATCTGCAAATAATAACTTTTATTTTTTATTTTATAATCCTTATATTTTTAAAAAGCCTCGTTGCACTAGATCTCCAGCACAGTGTGAGAGGTGATAGGGCAGACCCCATTCTCTCCTCAGCTGCTTCAAATATTTCACCACATGATATGTTGTTTCCTTTGGGGTGTAGGAGTTTTTGTTTGATGTTTTTATAGATATCTCTCATCAAATTCAGAAAGTTCCCTTCCAGTCTTAGTTTACTTAGAATTTTTATTTATAACTGGGCATGGTGGTGCACGCCTGTAATATCAGTTATTTGGGACCCTGAGGCAGGAGTATTGCAAGTTTAGGGCCAGCCTCAGCAACATAGAGAGACCCTGTCTAAAAAAAAAAAAAAAAAAGTGCTTGGATGTGGCTCAGTGGTAAAGTGCCTTTGGGTTTGATCCCTAGTACCAAAAAAAAAAAAATTGTAAAAACTGTTTGAATTTTACCGATTTTTCTACATTTGCTGAAATGACCCAATGTTTTTTCTTCTTCATTCTGTTAATGTGATAATTTTTTATCATTCAGATGACTTTGAATTCCTAGAATAACTATTTTATATACCACTGGATTAAATTAGCTAATATTGTTTTGGCCACTTGTCTGTTTATTGGTCCCAAAGTCTTGTTAGACGCTCAGCCATGCTCACACATTCATGTTGTGCCTATAGCTGCTTCTGCATCACAGTGGCAGAGCTGAGTTGTCACAGAGATCGAATGACCTACAAGGACAAAAATTTTACTCTCAGGTCCCTTTACAGAAAAGGTTTAAGTCCTAGGTTTTCTCATGGGAGAGACTGACCAGCATTTTCCCTTTTTGTAACGTCCTTATCAAGTTTTAGCACTGAGGTTATCCTCACCGCACAGGGCACACTGAGGAGTGCTTTCTTTTTTTTTTTTTTTTTTTTTTTGTTCTCTCAGTTTTTGTAATACTGTGTTAATTTGTTTTCTTTAAATGTTTAGAAATTTTGACTGGCAAAGGCATTTGGTCCTGGGGTCTTCTTTGTATGAAGTGCCGAAAAATTGATTCAAGTTTTGTTTGTGTCTCCTTGTGTCTCCCTGGATAACTTGTGCTTTCCAGAGAATCTGTCCACTTCATCTCAGTTGTCAAGCATGTTGGCCTAACACTGTTTTCAACACCCTCTTAGCACCAGGTCTGGTGGATCTGGGTGACCAACTGTTCTGTTTGCCAGGAAATGAAGGGTTTCCTAGTACATAGTCTTTAGTGCCAAAACCAGGACTGTCAGTCACCCTGGATCTGCAGTGACATCGCTTCCTTCCTTCCTGTTAATGGTTTGTCTGTAGATTTTCAAATAGATCTCCTACTCATTTTCCTCTCATTGATTTTTTGCTCTTTTTTACTTCCTTATTTCTTTTGGGCATAATCTGCTCTTCTCTTCCTGCCATTATGATATGAATATTGAAATCACTGACTTTCAGCCTTTTTTCTTTTCTAAGTCAGGTGTTCAAAGCTATAAAGGACCCCCTACCCCACGCACTGTTGTGGCTGCATTGTCATAGACTGATCTGGAGCATTCAGTTAAAAACCTTGTTTTAATTTCCATCTTTTTGGCCTATGGCTGTATAGAACTGTCTTAATTTATATACATTTGGGGGATTTTCCAGCCATATTTTTGTTGTCAGTTTTTTAGCTCATGTCCATTGTGGTCAGAGAACTTTAAGATTTTATCTGCTGAAATTTGTTGAGACTCATTTATGGTTCACCATATGATCAGTTCTAGGAACTACTTTACGTGCACTTGAAAATAGTGTGCATTTTGGAGTTGTCAAGTTGTTGGGTTTTCAAGTTAGGTCAGGTTTGTACAGCTGTTGAAATTCTCCATCTCTTCTTTCTGTTGTTGTTCCTGTTCGTTCTTTTCCAGAGAGAGGACACAATAAAAGTTGTTTAGTTGTGAATCTGCTGCCAAGGAATCAATTCAGTTTTTATTCATATGAAAATGCATTTATTCACTGTCCTTGTTAAAAGATGTTTTTGCTGAATATAGACTCTAGGTTGGCAGTTATTCTCATTCAGCATTTTAATGATGCTGTTTAGTTATAGCTGGCTTTCGTCCTTGAGTTTGCCAAGTCTTCTGTCTTCGGAAGGAATGTGTCTTTCTTTTCTCTGGAGTTTTAAAGGTGGGCCTATGTGTGGTTTTGTCTTTATTTTGCTTGGGTTTGAATATGTGGCCTCATGTCTTTCATCAGTTTTAGAAAATTCTTGACCATTATCTCTTCAAATGTTGCTTCTGTCTCATATTCTCCTCTTCTGTGACTGTCAGTTATAAGGACTATTCACATAACGTTGGAACAGTTGTGTTTAAAAAAAAAAATCCTGTGGCTATTTATAATCTCAAGGGTTATCTCCACTGTATTTTTTAGCTTTTTTTAAATTTTATTTTTTAGTTATAGTTAGATGCAATACCTTGATTTTATTTATTTTTTTTATGGTGCTGAGGATCATACCGAGGGCCTTGCACGTGCTAGGCGAGCGCTCTACCACTGAGCCACAACCCCAGCCCCACTATATTGTTTTTTAAAGTTCACTTTAGAAGAGCTATTTAAAATAACATCTAATATGTCCAACATCAGAAAAAAAAATAATGACATGGCACTAGGAATTCACTCAGTCTGTGTTAAATCAGTCCCTTCCTCCCCCTCTGTCCTTCTTCTGTCTCCTCCGCAAGGTGTACTCCAATTCATATCCAGATAGTTAAAATAAATACACAAACAAAAAAAGTGAGGGTTATTTGTTGTTCAGAATAAAGTAAGTATGAGAACAGGCCTTTATGTGGGAGTCTTTGAAAGGATTCTAGTTTTAACAGTATTCTTCTGAGAGAATTTTAGATGAAAACTGATAATCTGGCTATGTGAGCAAACAATATTTTAGTAGGGACTTAGTGTCTTTTGAACTGACCTGAAATCAGCAGGGAAGCAGAGCAGTGTACATCTGGGCCAGTGTAGCTACCAATCAGGAAACTCGAAATCCTTCCTTATTTCTTTGAATCCATGTACAGTAGTCCTCCCTGCTTTCTCTGATTTCAGTTACATTAGGGTCAACCATGGTCCCAAAATATTACATGGAAAATATCAGAAATAAACAATTCATGAATTTTAAACTGCACCCTATTCTGGGTAGGGTTATGAAATCATGTGCCATCCTGCCCCACCCTGTCCAGGATGTGAATCATCTTGTCCAGGGTATCCACACTGTATATACCATCCACCCGTTAGCCAACTACATACCGGTCTCGGTTATCAGATTAACAGTCTCTCAGTGCTTGTGTCCAGCTAACCTTCACATAGTAGCCTAACACTACATCACAGCACCTACGTCATTCACTTCATCACAGGCATAGTAAGAACAAGGATAAGGACAGTACAATAAGGTGTTCTGAGCCAGGTGCACCCCTGTAATCCCAGCTACTCCAAGGCTAAGGCAGGAGGATCCCAAGTTCAAGGCCAGCCTGGGCAGCTAAGCATGACCCTGTCTCAATATTTTTATAAAAGGTTGAGGTGCAGCTCAGGGCTAGAGTGCTTCCCTAGCGTGTGCAAGACCCTGGGTTCAATTCCCAGTATCATTAAAAAATTAAAGATACTCTGAGACTGAGAGCATACTTACATAACTTTTATAATTATTCTGTTTTATTATTAGTGATTGTCATTAATTTCTTTTTTTTTTTTTTTATTTTTTAGGTGTAGATGGACACAACACAATGCCTTTATTTTTATGTGGTGCTGAGGATTGAACCCAGGTCCCACCCGTGCTAGGCGAGCGCTCTACCGCTGAGCCACAATCCCAGCCCCATGTCATTAATTTCTTTACTGTGTATATTTTTTAAATTGAACTTTTCCCATGGGTACATATGTTAGGGAAAAAAAGAAAACTATAGGCACATATAGGGTTCAGTCCAATCCTCAGTTTCCAGAATCACTGGGGGTCTTAAGATGCAACCCCAGAGTGAAAAGGCAGATGACTGTATTCAAAGGACTGACTAGACAAGGCTGTCACAAGGGTTACCACGGATGCTTTTGTGTGTTTGAAGAGCGTCTTCACTCTGAAGGATTTCCTTGCTGCTGGGAATTTCTCACTTCCATGAGAAGAGTTAGTTTTTGTTTTTGTTTTTGTTTTTACAAGATCCTAAATCCATCTTACTTGTATCCTGATGAAACCATAGTCTCTATTAAAGTAGGTTTGATCTTTGTTCAAACAGCCCAGAGTTCTGTAATGTGACAGTGGCTGCAAGGGACAGTCTTCAGGGATTGTTGCTTTGAAGGAACAGCTTTCGCAGTGCCTTGGGTGCCCTGCAGTGGGTCTGCTTTCCCAGGGAACCCTGGATCTTGGGGGTGCTTCCTGTCCTCTCCAGGATACCCATCTGCATCACTTAAATGAGCCAAGTGAGTCACTTGCTTCCTGAACACAATCTCCACTCCTCCTACCCACTGCATAGATCTGCTGCCCAAGACCTTTGATGATCTTGAAAAGCAACTGTGAGGAACAGGAGAAAATATATTTACACTTAGGATTGCCAGCAGACAGCCCATTCCCTCATGGATGGAGACAAAGCTGGGGTCTTGGAGAAGTGCATGGCAGTGACCCTCTGTTCACCCCGTGGGGCTGAGTCCTGAGTGGCTTTTCACCACAGTTCTGTGCACCTGGAGATGGGGCAATAAGGTGAAGCATGTGACTATCAGTCATCACTGCTGATGCTCCAAACAGAGGTTATGCCTGTGTGTGTGAGCAGCAGGGACTGACTGACCTGAGACCTGAGGGACCAGCCTCCCCCACATCTGTTAATAAAAAGAGACAGAAGAGCAAGCACTGGCCAGGTGCACGCTGCCCAGAGCACCTGTGGGAATTCTGACTGCCGTTCCTTCTGCTGCCTCATAAGAGCTGCCTAGCTATCCTCAGGGGAAGAGAAATTAAATAAAAATAAATGAGGTATAAGTAGCTGTCTTGGAAAAGCTATTGTCGTTATTTTTTCTTTACTAAAATAGATGCTTCCTCCCTCGGATGTGTACCTTGACAGAGGCAGCTGCTCGCTTCCAGCCAGCCAGAAACAAAACTGCACTGTTCATTTGTCACTATAAGTAATTGATCACCATTTGTAAACGGGCCATTTCAGTGTCTATTCTAGGATCCCACGTTCAGAGAGACTCGACACCAGCTCAGCACAGTCCCGTAGAAACTTCCACCCCTTAATGCACTAATATACTATTAAGCTCTTGATTTCCCTTATAGCTGCTAGTTGTCTCCTTTCATGGAAATGGAATAAAAAATCCACTTATCTTGCTCCTGAACAAGATTCCACAGTGTAGAATACAGAAATTTTGAGTTTCAATGAGTCCTGCCCTCTCAACAACATTGTCTTGCAGCCATCTTAGAAGAATGGCCCTCCCTCTGAACAGAGAAGCAGTTAGAAAAGAACAATTTCATGTTTCGTACACCTGGGCCACAAGCAAACCCCTGGCAATCACAAGTAATTCTCTTTACCGAGAGCCAGGATCTTGCAACAGCTTGCAATTAGTGCTGTTTAGCATTTAATTTGCCTTTAGTTAGGTAACAAGCGTCTATTGATTACCTGACAGGAGCAGGGTGCTGCACTAAGCACAGAGTGGGGAGAGTGACAAAGGAGGTGCTGCCCCTGCTTATGGTCTACTGGGGCTGAAAACATCTACCCTGGAAAGGAAGACAGCTAACAAATGTAAAGCAATATCCCGTGACTGGGGACTCTCAGAATCCCAGGATCCAAGTCCTGGCACGCTACACAGAGAAAGGCGAGCTGCTGCGCCTCATCTCACGATGGGCATGGGCATGCAGTCACCCTCTCTGGGGAAGGAAGCCTCAGCCTCTCCCTCCTCTGGAGGGTCCCAAGTGTGGTAGGACCCAGGGCAGAGGTGGTCGCTAACCACTGGAAATCAGCCAGTCTACCACATTTGGTGACTGCCTAAGGTCTTAGGTAAAAATGCAGCCTCAGTGTGAACTTTAAGGTGAACACAAGATGGGGACGTGGACCTACAGCACTGGGAATGCAGAGGCCAGGGATCTGCTCCGAGCAGAGCACGTGCTTAGCATTCTTGAGGCCCTGGAATAAATGCCAAGCAACAAAAAGCAGCAGCAGGGGACTCCAAGACAGTGTAGGAGCCACCAAAGTCAGGGAGGCTGACACAAGAGCCAGGGCCTTGGTGTGGGCGGGGCCAAAGGGCAAGTACCAGATGAAGTGCTTTCAGGGTCAGGGACGCTGGCATCCGAGTGCTACCAATATGACCCCACTGAGCTGGATCCAGCAGGCAGCAGGAATGTCCTGCCAAGACTCCACTGACCAAGGCCTCTGTGCCAACGTCTTGACCCCAGGGAAAGTGAAAGGCATGCTCATGGCCCTCCTCTGATGCTTCTGCAGTCGGTCACTGGGTCCCGGTTATGTGATGGGAGGTGCAGTATTGACCAACAGTGGAGCTTGCAGCCCTCACACTTTGTACCCAGCTCAAAGCTGAATCAGTGGAAGCTGGGTTAAGTCAGGGAACAGTAGCCCAGGTGGGGCATGGTGGGCACAAGAGCACAGAGATGGACTCTGAGCTGCCAATGGCATCTGAAAGATACTCCCCCCAACACCCGGAAACAGAATGTACTACAAAGTACAAAGGCGGGGCTGAGACTGGCGATTGGGCCATTCACTGAAGTCTTCTGAGGACGTACAGACGAATCAAGTCCCTGGTGACACGGAGGGAGTGGTCCTTCTGCAGAGATGGCCTTGCTCACAATATTCTCAGACTCCTGTTCCCAGCTGGTGCCCGAAACCATGCATATATGTAAAGATGACAACTTCAAAAAAGATACAATGCATTTTCTGGTTGGTTTTTATTTTTCAGACACACTTAGCATTCTTTGGTTTAAAAAAAACCAAACTGCTTTTAATAAGCACAGGCTCCTATCCTCGTGGCAGGAGACAGATTTAAGGACTGCAGCTCAGACGCTCCATGCCAACTAGCACGCAGGAATCCAAGTGTGCGAATCAAATTGTCATTTGATGTACAGATTTGGCAAGAGCTTAGCACGCCTTGGAGATGGGAACTGCAGGCCAATCTGTGTGGCAGGTGCTTCTGCGACTGATTCTTTTGCTGGCCTGTCCCTCAGCTACAAAGTCACTGGCTTCATTAGCTCCTCTGTGGAGCTGGTCGGTAGGCAATCTGACCACACAAAGGAGTCTCCCAAGGCTCTGGGCTGAGACCTCTTCACCTTGGGATGAAAGGACCCTGCTTGAATTCCTGGACGTGGACAGAGCTGGACCTGGAACTGCAGTGGGGACTGGGCGAGGCTGCCTGCCCTGGCATGGCCTGCTGTATTTCTGTCCATGCCCCTGCACGCACCCTCCGCTTCCTGCCCTGTTTTTAGACCCAGCTCCCACTGGGTTTCTCACATAAGCAGCCTTTCTGCAGCCCTGAGGTTGTCTGCTCCCAGTCTCTGCAGAGGTCACTCTCCACCATTCCTGGTGGGGACAGTCCCTCAGCCATAAACAGACTACAAGACTACAGTGAACAAACTGAGGCCCAGGCTGGGAGGGCAGGCGCCTTGCCCAGTTCCAGCACCTAGACTTCACAGCCACCTCTGCTCCCCACCAGGCCCTTTTCCATACTGGTGTGGGTGATGACGCAGAGCAGAGCCCATGGAATAGAAGGGTGGGTCCCCAGCACCCAGCACCAGGCCTCACAGAGTAGGTGCTCAGTAAATGCCAAGAGATGAAGAAAGGAGACAGGCGTGACCAAGGAGGGACGCCGGCAGCTTCATAGGCACCACGTGCCTCAGCTTAAGGGAAGAGGCAGAGGAGAGGTGGGAAGGGGAGCACCAGGAACAGCCCCCTGCAATCCAGCCTGGGTCCATGCAGCCGGCGACTTCCAGGCTGCACCTCAGGAGCAAGCAGGGTCCATGCAGCCAGCGACTTCCAGGCTGCACCTCAGGAGCAAGCAGGGTCCATGGCACGGACAGTAAAGGAACAGACGCTCAGAACTGGGGCCAGGGCATGGGGTCATCCGGTGACGGCCCAGAAGATGCAGCCTCCACCAGCCAGCCCGCTGCAGTGGTCGGAAGGTGCAAGGTGGGCAGCTTCCTGAAGGGAAAGAGCGGCACTGGCAGTTGAAGTAGCCTTTCACTCACTAGTCACTGACCAGGTGCCCACCTCTGACCTAGGAAGACAGAACCTTTGCTGCTCTCAGAGCACGGCTGTTCATTGAGGGACACGGCCACAGGACACCGAGGTGGGCACAAAGAGAGGACAGTAGGGAGCACGAGGAACCGCAGTCCAGGGAAGGAGAGGGACTCGCCCCGGGCGGAGGCAGCAGGGCTGGGGGCCCAGCGTGAGGAAGTGAACATCCCAAGGTGCAGAGACACAGCTGGCAGGGACAGTGCCTGCAAGGTCACTAGAGACTTCGCAGAGTCTGGAGGCAGCAAGCTTACCAGGGACCGTGCATCCGGCTGCTGGGGATATCAGAGGCCATTCCTTGCTGGGCAAGGCTGGACCCTGACCAAGGTGCCATCCCTGTACTGCAGTGCATGCTGTGCACCGAGGAGCTCAAAGGTTCCGAGTGGGGAGGGAGAACTCCAGAGAACAGGGCTGGCGCCACAGAGCCCAGGCACCAAGACTCCTCCAACACCAGCTCCATCCCCAGCCCAGGAAGGGGGGGCCAGCGCGCAGTAGGGCCTGTAGCTGATTGGCGTCCCTCTGCAGTGCTGTGACCACCACTGTGCACTCCTCAACCACAGAACTGAGGCCATGAGCTGGCAGCAGCACCCTGGCCACCAGGCGGAGCTGGCGCAGAGCAGCTGGGGTAGGGGTTTGTGCATTGTTTAAGGGCCATGGTGGTGTCATGACCATTCTGAAAGTGAACGGGACAAAGGTGACTGCCTTCCTGCACATGATGCTGCTGGGTCAGAGGAGCGTCCGGTGGGATGCCATGGAGCCCATGCTGGTCCCCACTCAGGTCAATAACGGGGCCAGGAGGGAAAACAGGATAAGCTCCAAACACCTAGTGTCGGAGCAGGGCCCCAGCCTGGGGAGGCTGTAGTCACACGCTCTGCCCAGGACTGCAGCACCAACTCACAAGTACACATACACCTACGTCCACCCAGACACATCCCAGCACCTTCCTGGCATGTGAAATAAAGGGCAACCACTGACGGACACGAGCTCCTAGTGGCCTGTTTTCACAGCAGCCACCTGGGCACCCTCGCCCTCTGCCTGTCCAGGCTCCTCCCAGCAGGCCCTGCTGGACTCCAGCTGCGCTCAGCACACTAACTCCTCCAGCCGCCCACAACACCCTCACACCTGCTTCTACCTGTGTCCTCGCGGTTCCTCATGGCCCAGCTGATGTCCCTCATCACAACTCGGAGGCAGCAAGGTAGGAACTGCAGATGACACCCAGGACCCGTGAATGCCAAGACCAGACTTCCAGGTGGGGAGGGACCCTGGAGATGTCTTCATGCTGAGCCTGCCTGCGCCACAGTATGGGCGGCCCCGCAGGTGACTCACAGGGCAGCCAGGGAAGCCTTGGAAGATGCAAAGCAGGTGTCCTCTCCTATGAAACAAACCACCCACGACTTCCTTTTTAGTGCAAAACCCCTTCCAAAGCGAGCTCCTGCCATAGGAGTGCCTGGGGCCGGCGGGCACACTGCTGCCACCCAGGCTCTCCTCAGTGGCTCCCTGAGCGGGGGCCTCCCACTCCTCCACAGCCTGCTCCCCAGCTCTCTGCTGGCACTCGACCCTGACCTTGCCTCAGGTCTGACTGACTTCTCTCCCCACTGGGACACACGGGCCTGGAGGCTGGGCTGTCCACTGCTCTGCTGCTGCTCTGCACAGGGCCCAAGACAGAGCAGGTGCTCAAGTATCTAGTGGATAAAAGACGCCCTGAAATGAGGGGACATCAGCAGAGCAGGTGTGGGGTGGAGAGAGCCCACCACGCACTGCCTTTGGACTCCACGAGCTCCCTGCGGTGTTTCAGGTGGGTGCATGCCCCAGGGCAGACAGCAGGGCAACGCAGGAGGGACACGCAATGAACCAACCAGACACAAGAGAGGGTTTCACCTGTGGCCTGGAGGAAGTCACTCACCTGACAGTAAACAGGATTCTCCAGGAAGCTTTCGCTTTCTCAAGAAAAACAATGTCACCTTCCCTTCGCTAAGGACCCTGGAGAGGCCTTGGAATTCATGGGGGGCAGTGCAACCCTGACTGCTTAGCTGTCCCTGGCAAACCCCAGGACACAGTGCTGTCCGGCAGGCTGCAGAGGCGGAGGCCCGCCCCACAGGTGCATGGAAACCCCTCCTCCCTCCAGCCACCTCTTTATAAAAGGTGAAAGGGATCCTAATTATATACACACACGGGGTTGTACTCTGTGAATACATAAAAATACGCCAAAACACAGGGAGCCAAACGTTGGAAACCGTAAGTTAAACAGCCTGATTCTGGTCTCAAGGTGGCCGGTTTCCCTCTGTCATCAACCTCAGGGAATGGGACATTTATGTGGCTCACCCTCCTGTTGTCCCACAGTCCTGAGGACCCACAGGGACCGTCCTCCACCCCCAGCACACGCACGACAGAAGGCAGGGCAAGTGTCTTTATTCAAGATGCAGCAAGCACAGCAACACCAGGTGGCGCTCGGTGACACCACCCAGTGCGAAAAATAGAAAAATAGAAATGAAATTTCACAGAAAGCAGCCTGTCCCAGACGCACAGAAAAGGTGCCACCACCTCCGCGTAGCGCCAGGTGCCCCAGCAGGAACAGAACCCCCAGCCTCCCGCTGCACCTGCTTCAGACAGCCTCCGCTGCAGAGCCCCTTCCCCAGCAGCAACCCCAGAGGGAGTCAGAGACCACGCAGCCCCCTGTAGTAGCAGGCTGCACGCCACCTGCAGCTGGCAGCAGCCCACCTCACATCTCCATCACCTCCAGCTGAATGTGGGCCAGAAGATTCAGGAGGTGGTAGGACAATGACACATCACCTTTGCTCCCTCAGATACCCCAAGGTGTGGGGTGACAGACAAGGGCGGCTCGCCAACCCCTCTGGTGAGGGAGCTCAACTTGCAGGCCAGCTCACGACCCTCGGCCCTCCGCCTCACGTACAGCTGGAACAAGCTGAATGCAAGACAGGGGTTTTGGGAAACGGACTGCCAGCACAGGTGTGCTATTGCCCCAGGGACAAAAGGTTAGACTACAGTTCAAACGTGACTCCAGAGCATCGAGGTCTCTCTGGCAGACCCTCCACTCACTGCTTTCGAGCGCTGCTGACCTCGTAGCCACGTTTCCCCACAGAAACTTCCATGGAATCCTCTGCTCTGGCCTGAGAACAGGATCTGCCTGGTGTCAGAAAGGGTCAAAGGACCCACCTCCACCCAAACCAGGCAGGTTCCCCCCACCACACGCTCTCACCATTGCAGGCTAGGCAAGAGCGGAACGGAATGGCTGTGGCTTAGGCGACCAGACTAGAGGCGACCCTGAGATCTTCCTGCCGTTTGGGAGTGGCTCACTCTTGCTTCCCCCCAAAAGTGAACTTCTATTTGGTTTACCGACATTTATTCAGACTTCCAGTGAAAAGCTCTATAAAACACAGGAAGTGGCACAGGGTGGTACAGGCGGCACTTGGCCTCCCATGGTGCAGGTGCCACACTTAAAGTGGCACAGCCACCAGGACTGCACTCCATGAGGTTTGTACACAGCAGAGACTGCAAATGCTGAGGGCGAGACGCCGCCTGGTGGGCATCCGCACCCTTCTCCGGGTTCTCCGCTGGGTTCTTCCCGTTGTTTACACGCTGCTTCCAGAGTGTGTCCAGCAAGGAATAAATGAATGCATACGGACTTTTAGCTAGCAGAGCGTCTGGGTACTGAGGGCATGCAAGTTTGCTGTTTCTGTTACTATAAATAAAAGTCAAAGGTGAGGTTGCACTTCCCCATCTTCTGTTTATACACAAGATCGAACTTCTCGTTCATGGAGACGGTGAAGATGTCCTTCCACAGCCCGACCCGCCCTGCAACAGAGCAGAGCAGAGCGTGTGTACCCACCTGCTGCTGGACCAGCTAGCAGACCAAAGGAAGCCTTGGAAATGGATCTGGAAGGCTCCAGATCTATTCCTGGACCCCTCTAAACTTGGCCTGTGGGGGCAGGATGGGCCATCTGAGCTACAGCCCAGCTGGGTCCCCTGTGTTTTTGAACTGCTGTGATTGGCAAGGACATAAATGGAACCAAATTCCTCTGGGTCTGGGAGTGAAGTGGGCCCAGCCAGCTGCTGCCACGTACTGTGCTGGAGAGCCTCACGGACCTGAGGCCTGCCAGGAGGGATGCTACCTCTTGTTCCTGGCTGACTCCCCAGCACCTGTAGCAGCACGCGGCACAGAGGGGGGCTTAGTAAACACCCAGAGAGCAATGCCACCTGTGGGGTGCATGCGCTGTGGCATCATGTGGAGTTGGGGTCCTCAGGACACCGTGACTCCTCAGAGCTCAACAGCTCCACCAAGACAGCACTTGCCTCTAGAAAATTTGAAAAAGAAGAAAAAAATCATTCAAAAGGCAGGAAATATCTTGGCAAGGAGCAAGCCCTCCTGGCGGGCCCAGGAGGTTTGAGGAAGCACACTCAAGAGCCCTGGGAACTCAGAGTGAATGACACACTCATGGGCAGAGTGGCTTCTGAGATTAGACAGGATGCGAGAGGTCCTCAGCTCAAGTCTAAGTATCGCTCCACCTGGTGGCGGGAGCCAGACCTCTGCCGGGCAGCTGGGCAAGGCTGGGGTTGGACAGGCACTGGGCAGGCGCTGGGCACTAGCAGATGAAGGCTTGGTGAAAGTCTGCTAAAGACAACAGGCTGGTCAGGTCCAAACAGTTATGGGGGCTCTGAAGTGCCGAGTGGGGATTCGGAGCTGCCACCTGGGGGAACAGGGCCCTGGCTGAGTCACACCGAAGGACTGGCCGGCTCCGTCAGACCCTTCGGCTCTCCGCCCCTGACGTCTCCAGCAAAGCTCTGCTGTGAGCTCTGCCATGGGCAGTGCCCTTGCCCTGGCAGGACCTCAGGTGGGAAGATGCAGCCTTGCAGGTGTTGAGCAAAAGCCCCGCACGGCAGTGTTCTCTTTGGGAATGAAAAACTATCAGCATTGGAGAGGAAAAAAATAAAAGAAATTGTTCGTGCTCCCCTCTAATGGCACCAAAAGGACAAAATTAGAAGCTTCTAGACCAACCACTCTACAGTTACATTTTTCCGTGACTATTTTCTCAGCCGAGGCAGCTGAGCGCTGGTTGAAGGATCACCCACCTGGTTTAGGATTTGGAATCAAGACAATTTATGCTGTGATATGAATCAAATTTAAGCAATGCGGCTGGCTACCCGAGCCCTGCGCTCTCACCAGCTCAAGGAGATCTTCTGAGCAAAGAGGCAATGTGCTAAAAGGAAACAAAACCACAGAACTGAAATAAAGCGAAACCAAGGCAGACGATGACCAAGCACACAGTCAGAAGGAGCCCAGGGCACGGCGTCCCCACACGCTCACCACACACACACGTACACAAAGGGCCAGAACAAAACAGCAAATGCAAAACTGAAAACAGCAAACAAAGTTCAAATAATAGATACTCGTGAAGATGCAGCCAGGAATACATCAGGGTGCATTTTGGTTTGGTTGGCTTCTTCCTGCAGGGCGGGGGCGCACCCGGCACCGCACAGCCCACGACCTGCCTCCCCTGCCTCCTACTGGAGCCACAGCCTTCCTGGGGAGGCCTTTTGTGCTTGGCTCTCTGGCCTCCCCTGGTGGTGCTGGCCCCTTTTAGACAAAGGACAGGGAGCTCTGGGCGCTGGAGGGCTGAGCCAGGTCTCCCTCCAGAGCCCGCCATGCTGGGACCCAGCCAGCTCTCATCTTCCCCACAGGCACCTCCCACACCACCTGAGGCTCCGTGTCCCCCTCGAACCTTCTCGTCCCCCGCAAGTTCCAGTTCACACTGCCACCAGCTTCAGGTCTACACCCCCACATGGATGAGAGTCATACTTGCCAGTAAGGGGCTTGGGTGGCCATGGCCATCACCCCGGGATTCATCCTGGGGATTTTAATGCCCAAACTCCCTACTGCCGAGCAGAGTCGGATGCCCATGGCCCTAAGGATGGGGGGGCAACGCAGGCAGCCTTGGGGGGCCTCCTGCCTGAACTACCTTCCCCATCTCCTGCTGCAAGGGCACACACCTATCACACTGCTCACCCCAGGGCTAGGTCACTCCTCACCTGTGCCACCTGTACCCCAAAGACACTGGGACAGTGTCCCCTGGGTGAAGGAAGGAAGGCAGGGCCTCCTCCCTCGGGAATTGCTTCTGCATGACTTGGGGCTTTTCCAGCCAGGCGGAGGCTGCGGGGCCCGCCCACAGTCTTACATTTGTCCTTTCCCGGCACCGAAGCCATCCTGGGGGCTGCTCTGCAGGGCCCTGGATGCCAGCCCTCTGGAAGGCTCCCTGTCTGCAAGCATCTGGCCTCAACACCCCAGCAGCCGCCCTCCCACAAGCAACACGGCTCAAGGGTCCCAAGCAATGGTGGGCTCGGCACTGACTGCTCAGGCACCACGCCACCAGTGGGCACTGGCTGGCAGGTGAACATCTTGCCCTGGCAAAGCAGATGGCACAGGCCAGCAAAGCACTGTTGAATGGTCCAGAGCCCGAGGGCAGCAACAGAGGGGAGGGGGGACCCTGAGCAGGGAGGCGGGACACATACCCCGGCCCACAGGCAGGGCCTCCGCGTTGCAGCACTGGTCCACCAGCTGGTGGCAGTGCTCGCTCAGGGACTCCAGCTGGGCCTTGTCACAGGACACACCCAGGAATCTGGCCAGCTGCTCCACCATGGTCACCAGGTCCTGGAAGACAGGGCAGAGCACAGCAGCCATCAGGGCAGCACCTTCCGCTGCAGGTGGCCCCGGTCCAGTAACACTCAGGACTGTCCACTGTGTCCTCACTCAGTGCCCAGGTCCACCTCCTCTGGAAGGAAACAAGAGATCAGGAAGCCGCCCGGGCACCCTGCTCTCCCCTGGCAGGGGTGACTCAAACCCATGCCCGCGGGGACCTGGGAAGCAAAAGGGAGTCCTTCAGATTGCTGAGCACCAAACACGTGTGACCTTCAGCTAGCTGCAAGAAGGAGCGAGTCCCTTCTGCCTGCCCCCAGACTGACCCCAAGAAGGACCAGAGGCCCCGTAGGCCCCCCCGCCAGCCTCCCCAGAGGAAGGCACTAGCAGGAGGCAGGACCTGCTGCCCCGCCCCACCCCACACACGGGGACACTGCTGACATGCGCCCTGCCCTCCTCTCACGGCAAGTCAGAACCCTGAGCATGGGCTCCTGGCGGAGACTGTGGGGCGCTGGAGGCAGCGTCCTCTCTCAAAGGCTCAGAGCAGATGAGCAGACGGGGCCTCTGGCAGGACTTTGCCCAGCCTGGAAGGGAAAAGTCCCTAAATGTCGCAGGGGCACTCACGCCTCTGGAGTCCCGCAGCACTGGCACCCACCCAGCGGCCTCACAGGGCTGGGTGGGCTCCCTGCCCTGCCACCCGCACTGTATGTAAAAGGAAAAGTGGGGACTGCAGTGTGGCTCAGAGTGGTGCATCTGCCTGGCCCCTGGGGCCCTGGCTCCACCGCAGCGAGCACCCACCCGCACCCAACCTGTGTGCACACCTCTCCCTCCCTCCCTCACTGTCCCTCCCCTCCCTCATTATCCCTCTCCCTCCCTCCCTCACTGTCCCCCCCTCCCTCACTGTCCCTCTTCCTCCCTCCCACTGTCCCTCTCTCCCTCTCCCCGTCCCCCCCATAAGGAGCAGAGCTCTAGGGAGGAAGAAGAGATCCTGGGGAGGCTGCCCTGGCACCGCCTGCTGGAGCATCAGCAGGAGCCTCGGCCGCCGCACCCGTGTGGCCATCCGTCCACTCGGGGCACCTCTGCTGGCCTCCATCCAGCTAAGGCCGGCGGCTGCTCTGGTACGAAGCAGAGCATGGGACGGTGGGGTCGGGCAGCCTCCCGCTGCAGCAGCCCCGATGGCTCACCCTGCCAGCTGCACTCCCCACCTGAGACCAGGGATGGGAGCACCCGCCACCGTGGGCTGCAGGAAGAGGCCTGGCACCTGTCACAGCACCCTGCGTCGGGGTCACTCCCAGCACTGCTGGCACTAGCTTGCCACCTGATCCCGGTCCGGAGTGTCTGGCCACACCTGGTGAGAACACCCCGCAGACCGACTGCATGGGTGGGGTGGGGTGACACCCTGGACACCTGTCCCAGTGCCAGGTACTCAAAGCCTAAAAATCATGAGGTGGTGGCGGCAGGCAGGGGGACGTGGGGTCCTGGGCACACAGTGAGAGCTCTGGCACGACCTAACCACTGAACACACGGGAGAACAGGCCAGTCTCGGGCTCGGGGTCACTCTTCTGGAGTAAGAAGTGAGCAGCACGGACCCCTGACATGTGACCACGGACTCCCAGACCACAACTCGGCTCTGGGAGAGGCACCACCACACGCCAACTGGTGGCTGCAAGTGCCACCTGCGGTGGCCTGAGGGCATCCTCAGGCCTGTGTGGGGAGCTTGGGGCTCAGTGAGTGCTGGGGGCTACGAGGTGGGCTCAGGAGGAAGTAACCAGGTCACGAGGGTGCTCTCCCCAGAAGAAACCGAAGCAGCTCTGGCAGAACTCCCATCAGTCCTAGCAAAAGGGTCATTGCCCATGAGCAGGGCAGAGCCCTAACTCTCGGGTCTCCTGTCCTCCCACATGCGCCCTTCCTCTCACCACTGCCACGAGGCCTTCAGAGCCACGACAATGCAGGCGCTTCACCCTTGAACCACCAAAACTGAGCTAGGCTGAGCTAGGCGCTGAGTGGCGCCCACCCATGATCCCAGCTACTCGGAGCTGAGGCAGGAGGACTTCGAGTTCACAGCCAGCCTTGGCAATTTAGTGAGATCTCAAAAAAGGTAAACAGAAACAAGTAAATAAACCATGAGCTAAACAAATTTTTTTAAGACAGAATCCCCAGCCTCAGGTATTTCATGACAGCAACTGAAACCAAGCTGACAGACGGACCATCAAGACCAGATGAGGGCACTGGCTCTGCCAGAACACCCTGCCCGTCAAGCACAGGCAGGAGGTCTCAACTCTGATGGGCTCAGAGTGGCACTGCGATGCCCAGGAAAGGGGTATTTAAGCAGCCTAGGGCAAAGGTCTGCATTTAGACTTAAGCTCAAAAGAACTTGCACTGTTCTCCCTGGTGGTCTGTGGCTGAGGTGCTTTCAGTGCTCACCTCTGAGTAGCAGAAGCTTCAGGAAGAACCTGCCGGCCAGCAGCCACCCTGCAGATGTGTGTGCAGCTGGCCGGGCTGGGGCTCTCCCTGCACCAGGAGGGAGTCCTCTCTCGCCAGCCTGGGTGGTGGCTGCTCCCACTGCATGTCCCCGGTGGCACTGGGAGAAGCAGCTGGCAGACACAGGCCCAGCACCCCAGGAAGCCCTCCCTAGGAACAGGCCCCATGACAAGAGCACTGAAGAGCAGCAGCCACACCTCAGCCTTAGTCAGCCTCCCCAGAAAGGAAGCGGCTACAACGCTGGGCCAGGCTGAATGGTAGACCACAGAGCGTCCACACCGACACGGACACCGCGGGGGTGACAGGATGAACGCCTGCCACTCACACAGGGCCCAAGAGTCGGACGCTGCAGGGGTTCAGATGCAGGAAGCCAGGGTGAGGAAGGCCAGATGGTGCTCCCTCTGGAAACACCTGGGCAGTGACACTGAGGTCACATGCAGAAGCTGGCAAGCTGTGAGCCATGATTTGTAGGTCTGCTGTACCCAAGTTACTCCTCAGGAAAGGCACTCGGAACAGTGGACATTACCTGAGTGGCTGACGGCTGCCAGGCAGGCCCTGCAGCACCCTGCATGGAGATGAGGCCACACACCATGCCACAGGGGTGATGGGGCCACGACCCGGGCCTGAGCAGCCCATGTCCCATGTCCAGGCCAGTAGTGGGGTGGCGCTTGGTCCTCGCTGCCCACCACCACCCCATCCTCACCCCAAGAGGGAGGGCGCTTCAGACTCCTCGGCTCAGCTAGACCCAGCGGCCGGCCTGCTCACCAGGACTCGGGAGGTGTGCAGGATTCGGTGAGGGGACCTGAGGGAAGCCCCAGCAGCAGCAGATGCACAACGGGCTCCTCCCTGCCAGCCAAGTGAGCCTCAAAGGCCGTCTGGACCACGGGCCTCAGTGACCAGGGGCACGTGCGCCGAGGACCCAGGGGCTGCGGTGCCGATGCATGATGCGCTCCCCACCCCACGCCCACGGTGCTCTCCCGCGTTTCTGTTCACAAGCAGCTCCTGATCCACCTGGAATCTTCCCGTAAGTATGCGGTAAGGCTGTGGTCTGGCCCAGGGCCCTGGGATTCCAGACCTGGCCCTCATCACTGTCCCTCATGCTGATTCAGCCCTCAGACTTAGCTCTCCTCTCTTGGCGCCCAGCGGCCTGCCCTCCTCCCTGGCCCCATCCTACTGCCACTCACCCTAGACCTGTCTATGTGTCCTGTCAGCTGCTGTCACGAGTAGGCCCTACAGCCTGGCCCTGTCTGTCCACTGCACCGACATCAGGCCCGGCCTTGGCTCAGGCTGCGGCCCACACCTGCACCCCGTCCCTCCTCTGCTCTCCCAGGTGACGGTGTCTCCTGCCTGTCCTGCCCCAGACAAGGGACGTCTCCCTGCGCAGTCCTTCTCCACCCCATCCTCTCCTGACACCTGGACTGGAGTACAGCTTACGGCAGACACCCCTGACCCAGGCTTCACACAGGCCACCAGCAGCCCTCCTCCATGCCTGTCACCACCACGGCCAAGGGCCCAGGCCCCAGTCACCAAGCCACACCCTCCGCACACACCACTTCCTGGTTCCCAATTGCACCGCTAACCTTGCTCTCCCCTGGCTTCACGAGGCTGCTCCTTCCAGAGCTGTCCAGCTCCTGACCACACCTTCTCTGCACACACCAGGGTCACGAGTAGGCCCTACAGCAGTACATGCTGCTGCCTCACAAACTGTCCCACTCGGCTCAGATCCTACCACTGGCTCAGACTCTGCAGCGGGGGCCTTCTGCTGGTCTCTGCAACCCTGGTTGGGGTGCGGTCATCCAGCAGGGAATGAGGGCTGTCAGCCTGCTGCCCTGCTCTGCGGCCTCCCCCGGACAGGCTGGTGGCCCTCTGTAGGGGCGGACCCCAGCACCCAGACACAGACCCCACTTCTGCAGCAGCCTGGTTCTTGACGCCCACTGACCCCAAATTCATAGGGCCCAGGCCAGAGTCACTGGGGAAAGGGACAGGTGAGGGCAGGGGCTCTGGGAGGCAGACGGACACCACATGACTGGTCCCGCCAATTCTCAATCTCTGCCCAACCTCTTCCCAAGCCAAGAAGCCACCTGCAGTGCCATCTACTGGGGTCCCACCATCCCCCAAACTCAACACAGCCAAACGTGACCGCCTCACCTTCACCCAGGGCCCCCCTCCTCCTCCATGTTTCCTTCCAGAACTCCAGGTCAGGTCCAGTTCCACACAGGCCTCTCTAGTCCAGCCTCCTCCTGCTCCAATCCCCACCACTAACCACGGGGACCCTTCTGAACACAACAGGAAACGCACCCCTCTGCTCAGCCTGGTCGCCTGGCCCTGCGCACCCCGCCCAGATTCTCCGCCAGCCCCAGGGGCAGCCGCGTCCACTGGAACACACTGGGCTGTGGGGCAGAGGTCAGGAGCACACAGGTCAGGCTGCGACAGCACAGCCCACCCTCACATAGCCCCTCGCCCCAGGAGCCCAGGGTGAAAGGATGAGAGCCGTCCACCTGGGAGGGGCACGCGCTGGCTCCACATATACCTTAGAGAGCTGCCATGTCAGATGACGGACAGACCCACAGAACCCCTCCCCACCTCCGAGACCCCAACTGTAACAGACACTGGGGAAACTGCAGTGGACCAGGGAGGGTCTGGGAGGGAGGGGCAGAAGAGCAGTGCCTGTCAGAGGTGAGTGCATGGCACGTGGGTATCTGAAGAACGTTCTGGAGGGGGTAGAGCCACATAAAGACCTCAGAATGGCAGCTGGCAGAACAATTGGAAGAAGAGCAAGGAGCCGGTGTAGTTAGACATGCGGGCAGGGGCCTGGCGACCACCCAAGGGGACATAGCCGAGGGACATGACGCTGGCCGTGGCAGGCGCGGGAGAGCCGGCCGCATGAGGGCAACGGTCCCAAAGAAACAGACGCAGGGAGACAGACCTGGAGGGCAGCCCAGTGCAGACTCCCGTCCCACAGGCAGCCCGAGCCAGCTCCACACACCCCACAGCCCCTGCGGGCAGCGACGCCAAGGCACGGCGTCCCCAGCACTCACCCGGTGCATGTCTTCGTACTTGAGGAAGAGCACATTGGCATCCATGCGGTGCTCCCAGAACTCCTGCACGTGCTCAAACCAGGAGCCGTAGCCCACTGTGGACACAGGACATGTGAGCTCAGCTGGAGGGGATGCAGGCCACGCCCCCCCCACCACACACAGACTAGCAAAGGCAGAGCAAACTCTAGGGGTGACAGTCACCCGCGGGCAAGCCACCAGGAGCCCCTGGGCCCCATATTCTAGGCAGGCTTCTCCTGCCACACCTGTGCCTGCGCTGCCTCTGCAGGCTGGGGACCTGGCTAGGGGTGGGGACTTGGGACAGAGACTCCAGCCTGGGAGCCTCGACCCCACCAAGCACATGTCAGAGGGAGGACGATGCCAGGGAAGGAAAGAGAGCCAGTCAGAGTCGCTGGTGGGGTAGAGCAGAGAGGGCTCAGACACAGGACACAGACCATGCCGCAGGCTGAGTGCTGAGGGAACACAGGAGTCCTGGAGGGGTCCTCGGGGACTGAAGAGGCAGAAGCCCCAGCCAGCCCACACCGTGGTTCCACCCAGGGGCCGAGCACTTCTGGGCTGGGCAGGGCCGGGCCGGGCACCAGAGGGGTGAGGGATGCACCACTGTGCACCAGCCACAGTACATCCCCGTGTGCACGGCCCCTGAAAGCTGCCCCACCTGTCCCTCCCCGGGTTTCTGCAGTGCACTTCCAACGGCACTGATGTCAGAGCTCAGCCTGGGAGCCTTGGCAGGAACCCTGACCCCACCAAGCAGCAGGAAGCAGCTGCAGAGGGAGGGTCTGTAGAGATCCCTCCTAGCTGGACCCCGGCCCCAGGCCACCTGTGGTGGGGCAGCTGCCCCGGGCCCAGCACACGCTGGCAGACACACAGGGCCCACCTCTGCTCCTTCTACAGAAAAAGAGGTGAGTCCTGGAAAAGGGCAGTGACATCAACTGTCACAGGAGACAGGATGCAGGAACCTGGTCACCTAACCTAGGCCACTAGTTGGAACTGAGTCAAGGCTGAGCAGGTGCTGGGTGGAAGGAACGGCCAAATGACTGTGAAAAGGACAGATGGAGGAGACCCTCTTCTGTCCAGGAGAGAAGGTGTGTGAACTCTGAAGAGCCCACATCTGCTCTGGGGACACGCAGCTGCACAGAAGCCCCGGAGAAGCCAGCACAGTTGACTGGGTCCGGCAGCCACGGGGCAGCTGAGAGCCTGTCCTGCTATTCCACGCTGATCCAGGAGAGGGAGCTCCGCCACACAGGGCCTCCCAGCTCCCCTCCCTCTGCAGGGCAGAGACCCAAGACTGGTGGGAAGTCACCATGCACCACTGTCTCCACCCAGGAATGTCCCCACTGCCCCTCAGTGACCCTGCCAGAGTCTCCACATTGCACCTCACAGTGACCCATCCAGAGCATTCTCTGCACTGCATGTGTCATGGTGGCCCTGTCCTGTGTCCCCAAGCAGGTGTCCCTGTCCAGCATGTTCCCCAGAATGTCAGTGACCCGGTCCAGAGTGTCCCCCAGAACATGTGTCACAGCAACTGCAACCACAGATCCCCGCCTTGTGAAACAGGGAGCCCGTCAACAAAGCCCCTCCACACTGCATACCACCCGGCCGGGACCCTCACCCCTGGAATCTCAGGCCACAAATCCCTCGTGTGGGGCCTTTCTCAGGGACTGTCTTACCCTCACACGATGCTCGACCTTTGCCATCTGTCTACCAGGGAACGGTGCCATTTTAATGCCCCGCACATGTGTTTCCAACTTGTTTAGAACCCAGGGAAAACCTGTGTGCCCTTGTTGCACACCAGCTGGGGATCCGAGTCACTCGATGGCGTGCAGCACCCAGCGTGGCCTCGAGCTGGGTGCGTGGGGCTGCCACCTGATGGGGGAGGTCTTCATCGGGACAGCCTCTGCCTGCTCTGCCGAGCAGTGGCCTGAACTTGGCAGGCTGTCACTGGGGCATTGACCCCAGGCTTCTACAGGACAGGGCTACGTGCTGAGACCAAAGCGCGTGTTGCTAGGGTGGCCACTCAGCGAGCCGCTACTCAGATGCTGGGCAGGCTGGGCCCAGGGAAGCTAAAGGAGGCCCTATGGCAGGCTCAGGTGGCCTTGGGGCGCAGGGGCTGCCACCTCCTACCCTGTCGGGCAGGGACCCTGCTACACAGGTGTAGTTGAAGCAAAGATTCGTTGGGAAGAAACAAAACCGCTCTGAACTTTCAGGCTCCAGCAGCTGAATGCGTGAGCAGCAGGCTCGGAGGGACTCGCCCTCAGCCAGGCCTGGGGACGCTCCAGGCCTGCTGCCCTGGGCTCCATGTTCCTGGATTCTGTCACAGGCTTCATCCTGATCTCGTCAGAACCCCCACAAGGGGCTCCCAGATACTTCTGCTGGAACAAACAGAGAGGGTGCTCTCTGCCTGGGGTCCAGCACAGCCCAGGGTGGGTGAATCCAGTGGGAGCGGGCCCGGCTCCAGACTTCTGGGTACCCAGTCCCAGGTGGCCACCTGCTGGCCCCAAATACCCAAAGAAGCTGCCCGTGCTGTGGAGGCCTGGGCAGGAGGGAGCGCATCTGTACCAGGAGCTGCTGCTACCACCCAAGGGGACAGGTGGCCTGACAGCGAAGAGAAGCGAGGTCAGGGAGGGCAGAGGAAAACCGTGAAGACAGGGCTGCTTCTCCCTGTCCTAAGCCGTGGTGGGGTCACAGCCCCACTCCCCTAGCCCTACACACCTGCTCCCTGGGGACACCAGCTTTCCACACAGGGCACTGTCGCACCACGGGGCCTACCCCATCACCTGCCTGTCCCTGAGGTCCAGCCGAAGGCCACATGAAGGTCACATCTAGCTGCAGCCTTCTCCAGGGCCCATGGCCAGCGGTAGTGACACTGTAGCCTCTGGGTTTGCTGTTTCTGTTCCCACCCGTCTGGTTCCCACGCAGGAAGAAGGGGTTTTGAACTGGGGCTCCCGGAAGCGCCAACAGGGTGGTGGGGAGCAGGGCTCTAGAGTCCCAGGACCCACTGCCACGTCCCAGCCCCGGCATCTCAGCACGCGGCCAGCGGCCCACCCGGCAGCTCCACCACCATCGGGAGACAGGCCACCTAAGGTTCCCAGGGAGCTGTGAGCACTGGCACCCTCCGGGGTGACCGACCCCGGGCACTGCACCCCGAAGGGGACACATACGCTTGTCGTTCATGAACCTCCGGCAGAACTCCTGGAAAGTGCCCCGGTAGCTCATGGTCCGCAGCGAGCGGTGGAACTGGTAGTAGGACACCACCAGGTCCTTGGGGTTCCGAGCCATGTAGATGACCTGTGGGCAGAGGAACACGGTGAGCAGAGGCCCCTCCCAGGCCGACTGCACAAAGTTCTGAACCGACACCACTCCGCAGGCCAGGGTGGGCGGGGACTCTGCCCAGAGATGGGCTCCTGCCCGCGAAGTGCTTGCCGGGTAAGTACTGAGCACTGGCTGCCCTTTTGTCCTCCACACCACTTTAAAACAGAGATCAGGAAAGTTACAATGTGAGGCTGGCGACAAGAACTTCGGGCCTCGGAACGCAGCACACTAGGGAGGCTGGAGGCAGAGAAGGGCACAGGGCGGTAGCTGCCAGGGGACACGCACTGCTCCGCCGTAAAGGCAGAGCCAGCTAAAACACGGGTGAAGGGCTGTGTCCCAGGATGCAGGTGGCTGAGGTTCCGAGGGGAGCCCAGGCAAGTGGGTGGCGCGGCTATGGCATGACCCACAAGGAGGGTATGGCGGGTTACCTTGGAGTCACCGTTGTGGAGGTCGGAGGGCAGGAAGCGGTAGGGGAGGTGGCTCTTGATGAGGCGGGGAGACGTCAGTTCCTGCGGGCAGAGGAGAAGTTCTGGGGGAGGCACAGCCGTCGTTTGTCTTTTTTAAGGGCCCTTCCAAGGGGACCAGGAGGAAGGGGTCTCCAACAGAGCAGGACCCACCACATCACCTGGCCAACTTCTCTCCCAGACATGGCCCCCATCAGGCTGGACCCTGCAGGCAGAGATGAGGGCCCCCGCCCTCAGCCTGATGAGATGACTTCTCACAGCCACAGAGGTCACGCAGAGACCCAGGAGCAGCCCACCCAGCCCGGAGGGGCCTAGGACAGGCAAGCAGGGCCGGCGCCAGCTCAGGCAGCAGCTCCCGAGACCCGAGCCTCCAGCCAACAGCCCCGCGCGGCCACCTGCCCCCAGCCCTTCTCCACACAGTGGGCGGGTTAACCCTGGAAGCATCTCCAGCTCCCGTGCCCATGCAGGGACCCCTTCCCTGTCACCCCAGGAACAAGACCAGCCCCCTAGGGGCTCACAGACCTGGGATCTGGCGCCCACAGCCCCCCAGCTGCTGCAGGCAGCCCCCCAGCCGCTCCCTGCTCAGGAGCCAGGCTCCTGGGGCCATGGGGTCTCTGTGCCCCTGGTCCCTCTGCTCCTCTCTTTCTGGACCATTCTAAGCAGCCCCCAAGGAGACGCCAAGCCTGTCCCTTCCTGACCCACTGCCCTCTAGTGCTGATGACCATGGCAACTACTAAGGCTTCCTGTCCCTTCCTACATGAGGCTGTGAGCTGATCCGGCCAGCTCCCAGCCGCAGCCCAGTGCCGGGCAGGGCCGGCTCCCAGCACAGCTGCCTCCCAGCACAGCCGCACTGCGCGCCTCCTGGACAAGTCAGGGAGAAGCCCACGCACCCAGGCCCACACCGCAGGGCACAGAGGGATCTGCGTGCAGTGGGGTTTCTCTGAGATCTGTGTTCCAGAAAGTCCACCTGGCAGGGGGCGGGCAGGCGAGACCAAAGCTGCAGCTGCAGTGCTCAGGGGATGGCGCCGGAATTCAAAGGTGGCTGAGAGGTGGCGAGAGGAAGACCCAGACCCGTGGGAGGACAAATACACAAACACACTACAGACGTGTACACAGTCGCACATACACATCAGGTTCCCCCGCAGGAGCACTGGGGGTTGAACCCAGGAGCCGACTACACCAATTTCATACCCAGTCCTTTATTTCTTGTTTTTTATTTTGAGACAGGGTCTCACTAAGCTGCTGAGGCTGGCCTCCTCGTGCCTCAGCCTCCCAAGTCACTGGGACTCCAGGCTTGTGTTGCCACCACGCTGGCTTATTCCATTTTCAAAACCAAACATTTGATGCAAACCCATCCTCCTGGCTCCCTCAACAGCTGGGGGAGTCGGGGGGAGGCCAGAGCCTGCTTTCCACTGGTGGCCCCATATCCACACCCTCCCTGCCGCCCCTCGGCATCTGACCTAAGGGGACCCACACCCTGCTCAGGTGCAGGGTCACAGTAATGGGCTCAGACCTATGGGTTTCTCTCCTGGCCACCTGGGGCCACCTGGGCTCTCTCCTCTCCTCCACCCAGAGCCCTCTGAACCCCCTCAGCATCCACTGCCACTAAGCAGGTGTGCCTGCAAAGCACTGGACATGGGTGGCCAGGGGCTGGGGCCGCCAGCGCAGGCAGTACCTTGATGATGTCCAGGCCTGGCTGGGGGTACTCCAGGACCGGGAGCTGCTCGTCGATGTTCATCAGGCCGATCTCATCGGGGTCGGCCCCTTGGCTCACCAGGTAGACAACCTCCTGCAGCAGGCTTGTGCCTGGGGAGAGAGGCCAGAGGGGCACTCAGGCAAGTCCGGGCCAGCCCTGCAGGCGGGCAGCACCTCGGCCCAGGGAGCAGGTTGAGTCTGCGGACACAGCACTCCAGCCTGAGTCCCACTGCGGCGGGTGACCTGGGTGTCGCCGCTCCCTTGGAGTTCAGAGGGGAGGGATGCTCCTGCCTCTGGATCCGGAGCCTCCAGTGCTGACTTTCTCAGCTGATGCAGGAGGGCCCAGGGTCAGGGAGAACTGCCAGCCAGGTCTTCACACCCGCCGGGTGTCCACCGTGATCCCACGCCCATGGGCTACAGACTGCTGACGGACTCCCCTCACAAAGTAGCGACCCAGCATGGACAGTCCCCTGCTGGATCTGGGGACCTTCCCTCTGGGATGAACAGCACATCTCAGGTTCAGCGTCCCCAACCTAGAACCCTCTACAGCTTCCCGTTGTTCACAACCCAGGCCGAGGCACCTCCTTTGCCAAGGTCCCCAGGGGCCCTGGCTCCTCCACCCTGACGGGCCCCCAAGCTCCCCACCCTGGGGCCCTGGCCTCTGGCTGCTTCCTGCTCCTGCCTCAGGCACCTTTGGGAGTGCGGCGGAGGGACCCCCCCCCTGCACAGCCGCACCTACAGGCCACGCAGGCTCGCGCCCCCCCCCCCTGCGGAGCCCGGGCAGCAGGTCCCCATGGAACCCACTTCTGTACCAGCTACGCCCACAGGCCACAGAGCAGCTCAGGGCTGGGTAGAGCAGGAAGAGGTGGAGGCCAGCCTGCCCACGCGGTGCATGAGCCCCTACTCTGGGCACAGTCCTGCTCTGGCCTCCAGGGATGGGGGGACACACCCAGGAGCCAGCAGAGGGTCCAGAGCACTGCCAGGGAGGGGGCCGCATGTTTTCTCCAGCCTGTGTCCTCGCTCCTGGCACCCTGGTCCCGTGGGCCAGGCCACCCACCGCCACCACCCCCAGGACCCGCAGAACAGATGGGGCCAGCTTAGCACTCGGTCCCTTCACTCTGGGGGTCCCAGTGCTGTCCCTTGTGCCTCCCCACTTCTGGCCCAGACCGCGGCCCTCAGCACCCTCCAAGATGGCCTCACCCCACCCCACTCCTGCAGGCCAGTCTCGGGTGGACCCTGCTTCCCAGAGCAGCACCAGGTGCCTGGCCATAGCAGAGGCCTGGCCACAGCCCACACTGCCCACCTCAGCAAATGGCCACCTGGTGGCAACACTGGCAGTGCTGCTACCCACCTGCCTCTGACCTCAACCAAGTCTACTGGGGCTGAGTTGACCCCTCCTCTCCCATGTGAACCGCTTCCTGCATGAGCCACGTGGCTCCATGCTGCTGCCAGTGCGCCCTCCTTCACGCCTGCCTTCAGCACAGCAACAGACCCGGGGAAGTGAGGGTGCCTGCCAGGCCGTGAGCCCTGGAGACTGCATACTCCCGGAGCCAAGGCAAGGTCCCGAGCTGCAAGCCTGTCTCTGCCCAAGCCCCGTCCTCCTGTGGGGCTGTCTGCATTTGGTGGTACCTGCCCGAGCCCAGTCGCACCTCTGCCCCCTCTACATGTCTACTGAAATGTCACCTCCCAGCAAGGGCTCCCTGACCCATCCTGCACCCCATCACAACATCCCCACTGTGTCAGCAGCCCAGGACGGCTGCAAATTCCTCCTGTTCCCCGGCCCGCCCCACAAAGGCAGGGGCCTCTGTCGTGCTCCGGGCTGCGGCAAGAGAGGCGGGACCAGGCAGGGCGGGACCCAGGTCAAGTGCAGGGTACAGGCCCTGCCTCCTGAGGGCACAAAGCCAGCTGACCTGACAAAATGATCAGAGAAAAGGAGAACTGGAGCCAGGGGTGTCCACCGACTGAACACCTGCCCACCCCAGGTGTGTGCCTATGCACCTGCACCCGGGGCCAGGTGCAGACTCCAGAGCCCGGCCGAGCCCTGCGGGACCTGCCCAGGGCCACGCCGCAGTCCCCGACTGCTCTCACCACTCAGTCCCTCACCCAGCCGCAGCCGTGGGGGCTTCACAAGCTGCCCACCCCTGACCATGGTCCCTCAGGGCCTGGGAGGCCACCTGCACCCAGGGCGGCCTCTGCTGCCTCTTCCCCGCCTCTGACTCCAGCAGGCCTCCACCTCCTCCAGCGCAGAGGCCCAAGCCTTCAGCAGGCTGCCCTCTGCCTGGCCAACGGGGACTTGACCCGTGGGTCCCCGTCCTCAAGAAGGCTTCCCCAGTCCAGCCAGGGACCTGCCCTGCCCCAGAGCCCAGCACTTCCTGTCCTCCTGGTCTCACAGGGTCTGACAGGGGACTCTCCAGGAGGAGAACTCAATCCACCGGACAGTCCTGGGGAGCCACAGGCAGCTTCAGGACCAGGACAGGTGAGCAGAGGCCAAACCAACACACAGCAGGGGAGCCGCAAGGGAGCTGGGCATGTGAGCAGGACGCCAGCCTGAGGCCCGGGCAACGTGACCTGTGGGGGGGAGGGGAAGTGACAGGCAGGGCCACCACTAGTCAGTGACAGAAGCCACGCACTCCCCTGGGGCCCAGTGTACGGGGGGTTGGCCACAAGACGCCCGCATCCCGCCCTCACCTGCGCTCCAGGTCCCCGTGCCCACCCCTCTGCACCTGGTCCCCAGAGGAGGAACCTCCCCCCGCCCCGGCAGTCACCCCTTCATGGCCACCACCCCACCTGACTCCCAGAGCTCTGCGGTCAGAACTGGTCCCTGCCCTGGTCCCTGCCGGTCGCCCTCCTCCTGGCAGCTATTTAGGCGCTCTGCCACCAAGTCCTGGACACGTGGCACCTCATGTGCTCCCCAAACCTCGTCCCTCCGGCTCCCCTCCGGCTCAGGTGCAGGTGCTGTAGGTCCATCAGGGAGGCTGCCAGGCAGCTGGTCAGAGGTGAGGCCACACCCCCGTGGGGACCTGGAGGCCCCGAGGGGCGTATGGAGGTCCCTGCAGACACTGCCCGCCCTGCTCTCCCTCCCTCAGGGGACAGCCCCGCTCCTGGAGGAGGAGGAGGCACACTGCCCACTGTCCCCAGCTCTGCAGAGTCCGCCACACAGAGGAGGACGGGGAGTGGAGGAGCAGGCAGCCCAGTGACCCGACTGCCCACCAGAGCCGGCTCACAGGCCCACCCCGGCCCGTGCCTCCCGAGGGGCCGACAGCCATCCCAGCAACCTCCAGGGGCCCCCGGGACACACTAATGATGCCCGAGTCCTGCTGCTGGGGGGGCGGCGCCCCACAGGTGAGGGCTGCTGACCTACAGCAGCTGGCCCCCAGGCAGCGCTGGCACCCAGGGCCAGAGCAGGACGCCAGGCCTTCCGGCCCTCAAGGGGAGGCTTCAGAGCCAGCACCTTGTCTGGCAGTCAGGACACCAGGAGGGACCACTAGGGACACCTGATCCAGGGTGCAGAAAGCCGAACACACCTGCTCCCCGTGAGCCACGAGGGGCCAGGCAGGCCACAGAAGCCAGCTGTACTCAGCAGGGCAGCAGGATGGGGAAGGGCGGAGCCTCCCGGGGAGGCGGAGCAGCCGGGAGGGGAGGGGAGGGGCGGAGAGGGAGGGGAGGGGCAGCAGCAGCCTCAAACAGCCTGGGGTGCACCAGGCTGGAACTCCCAAAAAGGAGGAGGGGGTAGAGAAGTATTCGAGAAGATAAGAATCTTTCCAAAACAACAAGAAGCCTCCACGGATATAAAACATTCAGAGAACCACAAGCAAGATAGCTGATCAAATTCAAAATAAAGCCAACAAAAATCGCATTCAAAGCATGAAAACCAGAGGTCCACAGGAAACGTCTGCCACCAGGGAGGACGGAGGCACTGCAGCCCCAGCGTCCCCAGGGCCCGAGCGCCCGAGCGCCAGGGCAAGGGGCGTCTGGGCAGCACTGAGCTGTGAGCAGAGAGCTCTGAAGACAGGTCCTCTGCAGGTGACGGAGGAGACAGGGAGGAGAAGGGAGGGGGTAGGAGTCCAGAGACCAGAGACACCGCGCTGTTGGACCAGGGGCTGGCGAGCATGGAGGGGGCCAGATCAGGGGGGCTGGCCAAAGACCATGCCAAGGCAGCACAGGGCCAGGGAGAGGCCAGGCAAGGAGAGGCCAGCCAGCTGTTTCCCGGAGATCGTGCTGGCCACGGGCTAGAGAGGAACCAGGGGTCCAGGAGGAGGGCGCTGAGGAGCTGCAGGGGAGGGACGGCCAGGGTGGCAGAGCTGCGGCCCCCAGATCTGCGCTCCCTGAGAAAAGACTGCGGAGCCCAGGAAGGGAGGCCAGGAAGGGAGCCCAGGAAGGGAGGGCAAGGAGCGGCCACTGTCTGGGAGGAATGACGGGTGGTGAGCCAGCACCAGGCCCTGGAGCGCAGACAGGGGCCTGGGGTCTCTCCCAGAGACAACAGGGCCACAGGATGCTGCCCAAGGCCCTACCCCTTCCCTCTGGAACCCGTGAGCTCTCCGGACTTTGACTTCGCAGCCCATCCAGCAATGGGGAGAAACCTCCAGGGGCCCAGAGATCTGGTCACTGCTCCCCCCCAGCGCAGGCTCCCGACTGTGTGAAGCTGGGATGGGGAAGGTACACTGGGAGGGCAGGGGAGAGGGCAGGAGCAGCGGCAGTCACCCTGGCTCACACTTGAGGCCCTGCATCTCCCATGGCAGCAGGCTCCTCGCCACAGCACACTCTGCTACCTGGTGCCACGCTGAAAGGCCTGACCAGGACCTCAGAGGGAGCCTGCACCTGAGACCTACTGGCGGGCAGGGGAGTCCCTCAGCATCTGCTGGGCTTCCTAATCCAAGGAGGTGTGAAGCGACTCCTCCAGGGAGAGCCAGCCCACGCCTCCACCTCGGCCTGTGCCTCTCCATGCCCACTCAGCTGCCCACGCCAGCTGGCCCGTGGCCCTCACCCGGGCTTCACTTTTACATCAGGGAAGAGGAACCAGTCACGGGGTGCATCTGCGCTGGGGACAGTGCAGGTGGGGAGTGGGCCGGGCCTGAGCAGCCCCGCCCACCCAGCCTCCTCGTGAGCCTCCTCGTGAGCCTCCCCAGCAGGGAAACGGCGCACAGGAGCGAGCAGCTGTCCAGCCTGGGCCAAGCAGGGGCCTCCCGGCTCCTCACCCAGTGTCTGGAAGGTGGAGACTCAGTGTCCCCGTGGACTGCAGACCCCCACTCCGCAGGGGCAACAGGCCCAGAGAAGGCCCGGGGCCCACCACGGCCACACAGCGGCCAGGCAAGGCCAGGACTCCGCCAGGCCAGCAGCAGTGCACCTCTCCTGTCACTGGAGAACAGCCCTCCAGGACCAGGGGAGGTGACGCCAGCGAGCTGGCCGCCTGGCTGAGCCAGGAGCTCATTCTGTGACTCTGGACGCACCCCCACGAGGACTAGGAAGCCCCAGAGCAACCTGCTGGCGAGACGACGGCAGTGACGGCCACGGCCGCAGCCTGTGATGACAAGGGACTCCCAGACACGAGCGGACCAACTTCGCGGCAACCCTGGGCCGTGGACAGGTGGTGACCTCCCCAGAGGCTCTGGGCTGCCAGGCTAGGTCAGCTTCACCTGAACGTCATCCTCGCGGCTGCCCAAGGTGGGAGGCACCAGCCACAGGGCCACCTGAAGGGGTCAGTTCAGTCTGATTGTGAATCAAACAGCCACCTGTGGCTAGCGGCACCGGGGTGGCCAACCGTCCCCACCTGTCACCTGAGCTGCCCAGTCAGAAACATACTCTTGTCAGTGCTGTCACCGAGGGGAAGGCCCTGGACAGGAGGCAGAGGCCAGCACCTGGTGACCACAGCCTTCTCCACAGAAGCCCCTCTTGAGAATGCCACTGATCCCCCAGGGGGGCTGAGGCCCAGGAAAGGACTCTGCAGGACCTGGGCCCTGACCACCTAGGAGCTATGGTCTCCTAGACTCGGGTGCTGGAAACCCAGGGTGCCCACCCCCTGGGAAGGAGCAGCTGGTCCCGGCTACTTGCCCCGATCCAAGCACCAACTGGGTCCCATCTCCCCCAGCAGTGTGTGCCAAGGGTGGCCACCAGTGCATCTGGCATGGTGGGCACAGAGGACAGCAAGCGGCCACTGACGGCTGCGGGGGTGAGTGACCACTCGGAACCTCCACCCCCGCAGGCCTGCCCCAGTGGCCACCAGGGGTCAGGAGGCAGAGGCTCCCCCTGGTACGCCACAGCGCAAGGTCCTGGCACTGGCTCAGGGCCACCCACGGGTAAGCAGCAGCGCTTACCAGGACTGCGCGGGCAAAGCAGGCTCTCAGTGCAGGATCGGCGCGCCCCATGGTCAGGAGGGGGAAGAGGGCAGGGGAGGGGAGGACGTGGCAAGGACCTACGAACAGGCACCGAGGTCCACCTGAGAGGGCTCAGCACTGACGAAAACCTCCAACGCCTCAATGCCCCGAGACCCCCAGGGTCAATCACACTTGAGAGAAGGCCACCCCCCAGGGCCAGTGCCTTAGGGCCTCCACGACTGTCCAAAGGCACTGACCCTGGGCAGGGGAGAAGCTGCCACGGACCAGGAGACCTGGACAGAGCTTGCCTCTGTCCCTTGGCGGCTGTGTGACTGAGCCAGCCTCCACGGAGGTTCTAAAATCACGGTAGAGGACCCCGGCAGACTGGCCCTGGCCACACCCGGCACTCAGACCTGACCCTTCCCACGGGATCTAGGACCCCGCGGTAAGAGCCAGCACGTGCTGAGGACGACCGCCTGAGGACCCCGAGCTGGCACCGCCTCCGCACCTGCACAGGTGAAGGGTGACCTTGAGTGAGAGCCACTAAAAGCTCCGGCTCCTCGCTAGCACCCCGACCTGGCCCCAAGCTGCCCTGCTCCACTGGCCACAGGGGAGGGCGTCCAAGGTCCTCTGCCCGGTGCACACCATGCTTGCTCACTGCCCGTCACCAGCTCTATGCACACACAGCAGGACGGGGAGTATGACACCTTCACTGGACTCGAAGCTGGCGTGACCCCTCTCCTGAGACCTTTACCCTGATGCCCCCGGCGACAAGAGGTGGGTGGAAAGGAGCCAGGTGGGACGGGGTGGGGACAGGTCAGGGAGCAGCAGCCAGCACAGTCCTGCGCATGCGACTCTTCCTCCCAGGAGGCTCCCAGGCCCGTGAGCTGGGCTCCGAGCGTCACTCACCCCCGCAGCCTCCAATTCCACCTGTGAAATGGGGCCTCACCAGGCCACTCCCATTCTTGGGACGGACCCCTGAGACGACGGCACCAGGGCTCTGAAGCGACAGGGCTGAGCTGCCTGGTGGCCGGTGTCACCCCTGGCTGACCACAGGGAAAGGTGCAGGGAGCCGCGAGCCGGGGCGGGGGAGGCCCGGGGCTGCAGACAGCCGCTGCCCACTCAAGACGGGGCTCTCTGGTGCAGCGTGAAGGGACCTCACGCAGGGCCTACAGGCCTCACCCAGGGACAGAGAAGCTGGGGCTCCCCCCTCGCTGGAGTCTCCGATGTGCTTCTGTGTGACTCCTCAAGGAACCCAGGAAGCTCCCCAGCAGCACCCACCAGGCCCCAGCGCAGGGTCCCTGGAGTGCAGGGCTCAGCGGGGCAGACACCCAGTCACAGGGCCTGACCTGCCCCCGGGGCTGCTCCACAGCCTCCCCTCCTCCCCCCACGGAACAGGTAAGGCAGGACCACGGTTCCCACCAGCAACCCAGAATCCTAGACTCCCGATGCCAAGGACCCCGCGACTCCGGCCCAGGCCATCCTGTCCCAAGCCAACACGAGACTGTTCTGAATCTTCCTCGCAGGAGCTCAGCTACAGCCCAGCTCACCCCCAGGGCCAGCCCACCCGGCCAGGGGCCTTACAGAACCCGCGCCCTACACACCTGCTCCCAAGGGCCAAACCCTCCGCCCACGGGGACCCAAGGTTGGAGTGGAAGCGCTGGGTGGGTGGTGGAGGCCTGTCCCTGGCCATCTCTGTCCATTTCCTCTTCCCAAGAATGGCCAGGAGGGCCTGCAGGCTGTGGTCAGGCGGAGGGAACAGGGACATTCTGCAACCTGACTGCCCGGGGCCCTCCACCAAAAGCCTCCTCCCCGCCTTCCCAGTGGGGCCTGGGGCGCCACAGCAGGACGCCAAGCCCCCAGCTCCTGCCCAGCTCCTGCCCCGCTGCTGGTCAGAGGCAACCCCCAGGCCAGCCACCGGCTAAACCACACAGTGGCCCCGACTCAGACGTCTCCCCAAACAGCAAGGGAACCCCGGGGGTCCCCCTCTTCCCCACTCCAGCGGCCCTAGGCCAGCACCTCTTCCGCAGGCCTGGAGGCCCCCAGCCTGGCTCTCCGGCCCAGGTCTGCCACGCACAGCTGTGTGACCTTGCACAAGCCACCTCCCCTCTCTGAGCCTTAGTGCCCAGACTGAAAAGGTGGGGGTGACCATCTCCGCCCGACAGGACTGCTCCTGTCCACCTGGGTTAACGCTGGGAACGTGACTGCCCCGGGTCCTGCGTGGGCGATGCAGGCCGTCCTGCAGCACGGGGACGCGAGGGGCACCCTCCGGACACGGCTGGCCCCATCCCCCAGCAGGGCCCAGGCTGCCAAGGGGCCCGCGTCACCCCCCTCCCCAGATGGCCACCGACACTCCGGAGACTCCGCGCTCATCCCAGGCCGGCTGGATCCGGGACCAGAGAGGTTGAGTGACCCGCCCAAGGTCACACAGCCGAGCAGGAACCGGGCGGGAAGCGGAATGGGTGGCGGCGCCGCGCGGGGCTGGGTGGCGGGCGCGCCGTCCAGCGGTCCCCGCCCGCCCCGGCCCCGCGGCCCTCACCCGACTTGGGGTAGGTGACGATCCACACGTCGCTGGGCCGCACCGGGAAGTTGGCGATCTCCTCCATCTTCCCGCGGCAGAAGGGCGGCAGCCGCACGCCGTGGAACTCGAAGTACTTGCTCTCGAACTCCCCCGGGGTGCTGGGGGTCTCGGCCTCGCTCTCCGCCATGCCGCCGCCGCCGCCCGCGCCGCGCCCGCGCCCGCGCGCCCGCCGCCCGCGCCGCAGCGTGACGTCACGGCGCCGCCGCGCGGGCCGCTCCGCGGGCATGACGTCATGGCCGCGCCCGACGCACGGCGCCCCTCGCCGAGCGTGACGTCACGGCGCCGCCGCGCGCCCCCGCCCCGGCGCCCGCACGCACGGCGGCCCGCGCAGCGCGGAGGGCGGCCGCGCGCACCTGCCCGGCACCCGGAGCTGCGGCGGCGGGCGGTGACCCGGCGACGGCGCTGTGCGGGTGCCAGCCCGGAGCCCGAGGGAGGCTCCGGACGGGCCGGGTGGGTGGTTATATGTCAGAGGGAAACCAAGGTTGCTAATCAGCTGAAACAGGGGGTCACTGTGCTTTTTCCAATGTGATCAAAGGCTCGTGCGTGAGGCGCCTCCTGTGTGCCGAGATGAAAGCAGCCCGGTCCCGACCCTGAGGCTCGGCCTCCTCGGGGAGAGGAGGATGTTCCTGGTGCCCAGGTGCCGCCGCTGGGCGCCGGGACCGTCCACACTGCAGGTGCGCTCGGCGGCCTGCGGTGTGTCGCCCTGCGCCCTGCGCCGCAGACTTGGGGAAGTGCGGCCGAGGAAGCGACGTGGAGAGCCACTGGCCTCGTGGCAAAGGGCCTCTGGTTCAGGCTAGAGGGACAGGGACGCTGTGAGCAAGTGAGTGCCCTGGTGCTGCCGAGCCGGCCTCCGCGAGCCGGTGGGGAGGCAGGAAGAACCCCAGGGGTATTGGGTTGGAACTAGAGGTGTCAACGTGAAGTCGAGAATTAAAAAAAAAATCTCTTCCCCAGCTTTGCTGGAAAGACCTCAGGTAGTGACATTACAGAACTCCTCTGGAGCCATGGTCGGATCATTTCTGAGTAACCCCCCACCCAGAGGAGCCAGGGGTTTTTGGAGAAAGGCCAGTTCCAGGGCTGGGCAAGGAAAGTACAAGATGAGCCTACAACATCTTGCTGACCTAAGAGAGAAGTCAGTGTTCAAAAAGATAGGAGTCGGTCAAAAGTTCACAGGACACAGTTGAAAGGGCTCCCGCAGGCCAATTCTGGAACCGTTGAGCATGCTGGACAAAAGTGGGAACAACTGAAATTTCCGTCAGGAGTAGAATGGGGAACTTGTGGTGCGGTGTAATCCTACAGTGGATGACTGGCCCCAGGGCACCAGAGAAGAATTCCTTGGTATATGAAACAACAGGCAAATCTCACAGTCAAAATGACAAATAAACCAAACACAAAAGACATATGTTGTAGGATTTGATTTATATGCAGTTCAAGGACAAGCAAGACCATCTATAGTGACAGAAGTCAGAATAGTACTTACTTGGGACACCAGGGGACCCTCCAGAGTGGAGGAAACACCCTCTGTCTTTACCTGATAGTACAGACAGAAGGACAGACATGGACACGGGTGCAGGCCCACTTCATGGGTGTGCACAGGGTCCTGTGCTCAGAAGGGCCCCACACTTGAGTGAGTTCCTGATGCCCACTCTTCTGTCCTCTAAGAGTTCCAGCCTCCCTCAGCCTCTGCCCCACCCCCACCCAATGACTATCAGGTTCTGGGCACAGCCAGGAAGAGGGTCAGGATGGACACTCACGTCAGTGTCACGAAAGACCCCTTCCGCACACACACTCAAAAAAAAGACTGAAAGAACTGTTCTTTTAGATAAAGGAGATGAGAGAGATTTGATGGCTAAATACAACACGGGATTCTGGATTGAACTCTGCATCATTAAAGAAAGCCAGAGAAGACATCCCTGAGACAATCTGCAATGTTTGAACGATATTGGACGATAATGTGGTAGTGACTGTAAGTTTCCTGAATTTGAAAACGGTACTGTGATTGTGTGAAAGAACCTGCTTTGGTTTATATGGCTCACGCTGAGGCATTCGAGGGTGAAGAACTATGTCTGCAACTTGTTTTCAGATGATTTTACCAAAAACACCACACCAGCATAACACTACCGCAAACGCACAGTATGTACCCACCAGGAGAGAAAACGTGGCAGGAGCCACTGTAGGTGCGTGTAGGTGACGGTGCATGCTTATTCGTTTCCATTGCTGCCATGACAGAGAGTCACAGGCTCAGGCCTACAGGTCGCTCGCTGGACTGAAATGAAGGAGGGGACCAAGCTGTGTCCCTTTCCAGAGCCTCCAGCTCTGGGAAATCTGTTTCCCCACTTTCTCCAGCTCTTCTGTTTGCTTTTGGCTCTTTCTAGAGGGACCCACGACCTTCAGCTCATGGTCCTGATCCATCTTTAGACTCAGCATGGCTAGGGAAGCCTTCCTCACAACGTATCCCTCTGACATGGACTCTTCTGCCTCCTTCTTCCACTTTTACGGACCCTTTGATTACATTGGAAAAATCACAGTGATCCCCCTGTTTCAGCTGATTAGCAACCTTAGTTTCCCTCTGACATATAACATAGTCACAGGTTCTGGGGATCAAACATGGACATCTTGCTGGGCGCAATGGGACATGCCTGTGATCCCAGCCACTCTGGAGGGAGGCTGCAGCAAGAGGATCACAAGCTTGAGGCCCGCCTGGGCAACTTAGTGAGACTCTATCTCAAAATTTAAAGTGCTGGGGATGTAGCTTGGTGGTAGAGCACCCTGGGTTTAATCCGAAAAACCAAAAAATAAGTGGACATTTTGGAGAGTCATGATCCTACCACCACAATTGTAGCAAGCTTTTCAATAAGTTCATTTTTCCCCCCAGAAGAAAAAACTTGTAACATAGAAAATCCCTAGAAATCTGCAAAAAGGCCACTAAAGCCTGTGAGTTTAGCAAGCTGGTAGGATACAAAGGCCAAGAAACAAACTGAGACAATTGGAAGTTAAATTTTTCAATGGCATCAAAAAAACAGGAAGTACTTAGAACAAATCTAAGAAAATCTAAGCAAGGTTTTTATACCATAAGCTACAACACATTGATGAGAGAAATTAAAGAAACAGGGGTGTACCAGGTTTGTGGACTGGGAGCCCCAACATTGTTAGGAAGCCCCTCCCCTGAACCGCAGTCAGAGTCAGAAAAACCCCAGCACAAAACCTCACTGGACCCAGAAATTGATGGGCTGGTTCTAAAATTTGGAAATGCAAAGAGCCTAGAAGACTCAAAAGAATTCTAAGAACAGAACTTGGAGGGTTCGAACCTCCTGACTTTAAGGCTCATTCAAAAGCTCCTTAACTCACAGCTGTAAAATAGGGACTGTGTGGCATCCACGTCCTATAGAAATGCAGGTAAGTGGAGTCCATTAGCAGTCCCGGGAATAGAAGCAAGCCTGAGGTCAAGCGCTGTCTTAAAGAAACCCCCAAAGAGCAGAATGAAAAAGGTCCACCAGCGCCGGCTTCCATTTCAGATGAACACCCTGTCCCCAGGTGTGTGAGAGTCTGCAAGGTCCTTGGTCTCCCGCGCGGTCTCAGAGGCCGCCCAGAGACTGGCCCGCGGGTCGCTGTCCGAGGTGCTGAATGCTCGCGGCCGCGGCTGATCTCCTGCCCTCCCATAGGCCCTGGGTAAACTCACTCTGGGGACCCTGGGTTTGCTTTGTCTACGTTCTGTCTTGAGGCACATTCTCCTGTTTGTGTGCACTGTTAGGTTTTTTAAGGTTAATTACTTGTTGGTTATGAAAATGTCAAACATACACAAAACCAGAATGGTGTCGTGACTCACCTGTCCCTATCACCCTATGTCCACAATCATCCAGCCCTGTTACATCCCCGACCACCACTAAACACACGCACAGTATCCTGAAACTAACCAGATGTGTCTTATCATGTAACTCATAAATGCCTGGTTGATGGGTCGCTAAGAGACAAGAACTCAAACCACATTCCCAGGGGTCAGCCACTGAAAGGCAGCGGAGCCCTTTAACCTGGCTGAACACCAGCTGCTGTCGCGATCCCATCTGCAGTTGGGATGCGAGTCCTGGGGGCTGAGACACTGCTGGGGGGCCTAATCCAGCCATGGTAGTGCGAGGACAGAGGTCACCCCAACTGCAGCTCTGTTGCTACAGAGGACATTGTGCAAGTCTGGAACCCAAGATGCTGACTCAGGTGGCCACACCCACGTGGTGGCCCCTGAAAACACTAGTGTCCAGGGACTACAGGATTCAGGCACACTCCCGCCAGGGCAGGTCTAGGTGAAGACTAATTGCTTCAGAATCTCTGTAGAAGAACCCGAGCGTGTTCCTGCCCAGCATTCTACTGTCCTGTCAGGGCACAGCCACAGCTGGCCTGGCTGGCTGTGTGGCCCACAGTTCTCTAACCCCAGGGGGTTACCCCAATCTACCGTGCACCTACAGTCCCCCCAGGAATGGTTTTCCTGCCAGCCCAGCCCTAGCGTCCATGAAGACCGAGGCCAGAGGCCAGCTCCTGAAGTCCTCTCTCCCCCTCTTGGCACAGGGACATGGATCAACTGTGTTGGGGCTCGGGTGTAGCTGGAGGTGCCTCAGAAAGCAGCTCATCTTAAAGACAAGAGGCTGATCAAGGAGGGACTTGCTCAGTGTCTCGGTCGGAGCAGGTCGCCGTGCAGCTGTGGTGGCCTGGGAGCTTCCTGCTGCCCGAGCACAGTCTTGGTGCTGCCAGCCTGCCGCCTTCCCTCCTGAGCGTGGTCTCCCTCCCCGGGAGAAGCAGTGCTGACGTCCCAGGCTTGCTCTGAGAATCAAGAGGCTGCTGGGCTCCACAGGCTTGAGGGGTGTCCCCTTGGGGTGAGGTTCCCTGTTGCCTCCACGGAGGTGGCAAAGGAGCAGGGGGTCCCTGGGGCAGGCGTCTGCCTTGGGTGTCAGGAGACATCCACCAGATGGCCCTCATCTTCAGCACTCAGCCTGGCGGGGAGGCTGGACGCCAGCCCGGGAGGTGGCCCAGGACTGGAAGCCACAGCTGCCTGCAGGCTGCAGAGGCCCCTGGTGGGCTAGTGGGGGAAGAGGGAGGCCATGACCTCTGCACACCTGCAGGAGGCCACGGCTCGGGGCCAGAGGGGGCTCCAGCACCCACAGACGGGTCCCTCACAGCTCCCTGCTCCTCATCCAGCACCCCCCCCAGGCTGCCGTGAGGCTGAGGGGAAGCCGGGGGCGGTGCCTCCATGTCCCCCAGGGCCTTTCTGGGCACTGACTCTATGTTTGACAGGGACTGTGAGGAGCATTCAATTGTTTCAAGTAAATACCCTGAGGAGCGTGGACACCGGTCCATTTACACAGGGCAATGGCTCTGAGAGGTGAGGGCTTCCCTGGTCACATCCATGCCAGTCGCAGAGATGGGACTCAAAGCCCAGTAGGACTGAATGCAGAGCCCAGGATGTGTCCTCTGCTCTGGAGCATCTCAGGGTCCCGTGTCGGGTGAGCACAGGTAACTCCGGGAGCACAGGGCAGGGGATGCTGACTCAGATCAGCTCTGGGGCTGTGAGTGCCGCCACCCCAGGCCAAGGAAGGCACAGCCATCTGATGCACCCGCTGCAGGGAGGCTTGGTCAAACTCATTCATCCTGAGGCTACATTAATAGAGACAGTGAGGGGAGGTGGGAGGTGAGAGTCAATTTAGATCCAGTGCTGGTCCTACCATCCTGGGTGCTGCTGGACCCCTTGTTCTCAGAGGGACGTGGACAAACCAGGACTGAGGGGCTGCAGGGGTGAGGGGCTGCAGGGGTGAGGGGCTGGGGCTGACTGAGCAGCATCCCAGGTCAGGGATGTCCCTGAAGAGTGGTCACAAGGCACAGCTGCTTGCCATGCAAAGCAGCCTGGGAGTGACCAAGGGACCTGCCAGAGAGTCCCCAGATGAGGGGAGCAGGCAGGGCGTGTGACAGAATACAGAGCAGGGATCCGTGTCCCAATACAGGACAGGAACCAGAAAAGCACTACAAGCTGTGGAGTGTGGCCCTGGGGGGCTTGGAAATGGCCTGTGCAGTTGTCAAGCTGCGGGCGCACGACCTCGGCCGAGCCTTGGGGGTAACAGAATCCCAGGGAGTCTGAGAGCAGAGGGTCACAGCAAGGGCAGCATTCCCACCTGAGAGCATGCTGCTCCGCACGTGGGGTGGACAGGGAGGAGGGTGGACAGGGGGGAGGGTGGTGCACCATCCATGGTGCAGAACAGCAATGGGGACAAAGAGGGCACTGAGTAAAGAGATGGTGGGGTGGGGTAACGAGGGAGGCCGGGTGCCGGTGGCCATGGCACTCCTGTCTATCTGTGACCAGGACAAAGGACCAGGAGCAAGAATGTCCTCCAAGGCCTCCTGGGATCTAGACCCTCAGCCTGGAGTCCCAGGTGGCCAAGCCCCCCCCCTGCTCTGGAGGACCCCACACCCAGCATCTGTGCAGGTCGAGGGCCATAGAGCTGGGGACCACATGCCCCAAGTGGGACAGCCCCCTCCTGCTGCAGGGGGTGGTGTCTGTGCCCCACCCAGGAGACCGCAATGGGGCAGAGGCCAGCTCAGCCTGGTGGTGCTGGAATGGGGTGTGCAGAGCCTCCCGCGGCCCGTCCCCTCGCCCTTTCTCACCCCGGCGCATCCCAGGCTCCCATGCCCAAGGCCCAGTCCTCCCTGACCTCATGGCTGGCAGTGCCACCTGCCCTCACCGCTCCAGGCCCGAGGAGCACCCCGGCCCTCTGTTCCTCTGCTTCCAACTCTTGGCCTTTCTGAGTGGCCTGGCTGCCCCCTGCCCTCCCCGCCCTTGGGGTACCCGCAGCTGCCACCCCACCGTCCCCCTTGCCCTCGCCCTCGCCCTCGCCAGGGAGTGGAAGTTCTGTTCGCAGCTGGTCCCAGAGCCCAGCACTCACTGGGCAGAAGCTGAACAGTGAGTGACTCCTTCTCTCTTTTGTTCTTGTTTATTCCTTGGTCCCTTCCCCCAGGCCTCATCTCCCGCCCTCCCCATACCCAGGGGGAGCTGCGCACCCCCTGCAGCCCCTGGCCGGGCGGGGTCTGCTGGGGCAAGAAGTGCAGGGACTCCCAGAAGAGCGCGGGCGCCTGAGGTCCAGCCTGTCTGCCCGCAGTGGATGGGAGGATGGAGGCCCTGGAGCCTTCCCAAGGAATAGGCTGTGGCGTGGCAGGGCCTTGGGGCCCAGCAGAAGCCCTGCAGCTGGGGTCCCGAAGACTCGGCCCGTGCTCCCTCCTTCATCTCCCCGGGGGGCCCCCCCACGGGCTGGACCAAGGGCCAGCAGAGAGGGAGGCTCCCTGGGTGAGGCAGGTCCCTGGGTCCCCCCCACACGCACAGCGCCCCAGCCAGCTCGGGTCAGAGAAGGGCAGACAGGATGTGAAGGGAGCCCCCCCGTCTTTCACTGTGCTCCCTGAGCTGGGCATTCGGTGGCCCCGACTTCTGGACAGCGTGCTGCCAACAGCTCCTGGCCGGGCACCCCACGTTCTGCTCGGCACAGGAGCCCTCCACGGCCCGGTGGACACTCCAGAGCTGGGCCGTGTGCTGGCCCCTGCCATCCTCTCACCCCTGATGGAGCGGGTGGCAAGGAGGACAGGGTGACCAAGAGGCAGGGCCTCTTCCAAACAGGAAGTTCCAGCGACAGGCTCCGAGGAGCAGGGCTGCTGAGGGGCAGGGGCCTTGGCCACCAGGAGACAACTGCCCACAGGTCGGCAGCAAGGCTCCAGGGTGGTGTACCTCCAGAGCACAAAGGAAAAGCAGGGGCGGCCTCATGAAAATGGGGGACCGGGGGGGGGGGAAGGGAGCACACGGGCCCCGGGGGCCAGATGATATTGCCACCTAGGTGCAGGACGGGTGTGTGACGTCGCGTCCCGCCACTGTGTACAGCCATAGAGCACCCACAAAAGTATATGGAAAAACCAAAGGCCCAGCAGTCCAGCGTCCTCCCTGGGCCAGCGGCGGGCTCCAGCTCCTGGAGGTGAGCCAAACCCAGGTCCACCCGCATGGCAGATCCTGGGGCGGACGAGGCAGGACACGTTGGGGGCGTCACAGGCTGACCCTGCCCTGCACTACAGACCTGAGGGTGGACCACAACTCTGTGGACAGGGCCATGGAAGGAGCTTCCCTGGGCTGGAGGGGGCCGTGTCCTTGACCACGGTGACAGGCAGACTGCGGAGGGAACCGGTGATGACTCTAAGTTTCAGGGCTTGTAGGTTGACGAAGGGCAGGGCCACTCGAACAGTGTGAAACCCCTGGGGCACCCTGTGGCACTGCGCCCAGGCTGACTTCTGGGTCCTGCCCAAGGCCCTCAGTGAACCAGGCTGGCCACTCCCGCTGGTCTCCAGGACAAGGAAATGACTGTGGAGAAGGACGGGGGAGGGCAGGGGTCTCTGCGGCAGGAGACAGGCTCAGGGAGGAGCCAGGCAGCTCCCTGGGGCACACGGGCCAACCTGGCACAAGGCCTCACGGGGACATTTGGAGCAACACAGGACTGGCAGAGATCGCAAAGCAGGGGATCCTCCTGTCCTCCATATAGGGCATAGTGGCTGCCCCTGCAGGTCACATGGACCCACCAGGGAATGGCCCCAGAGAAGTCAACACAGGTCCTCCTCACAGCACAGCAGGGCACAGGACAGCGGTGTGGACTGCCTGCCCAGGGTCCTAGGAAGCAGCTGGTGCCCCCCAGGCCCTCTGCCCACTCACCTGACCAGCCTGAGGAGCTGGGCCTTGGTCCTGGAGTGGATCTCCAGAGCCGTGCTCTTCACCAGGCCCCACATCCACCACAGGTCTGCGGGCGCGTCCGGCAGCCAGATCACCAGCCTGGACGGGGGACAGCATCAGCCTCGCCCAGCAGCCAGCCCAGAGGCCACCTACCCCTCAGACCCTGAGGGAGCTACCAGCCCACAGGAAGGGGCTACCCAGATGGGTACGAAGAGTCCAGAGGTGTGGGCCACCATTGCAGAGCAGAGCAGGGCCCCAGGGCACCCGCAGGGCACAACGATCCACCATGGGCTCTGAATGCGGCAGAGGTGGCGGGCCTTAGGTCACCAGCGAGGGCACAGGGCACAGCCCAAGGGTGGAAAGGGCGGGGCTTTAAGGCCAGGCAGGGCCCGCCCCCCTCTCCTGCTCATTAGCTACGTGACCTGAGAAGCTGGGGAACCTCTCTGGCCGCTTTACTCCCCTGTCACACGAGGACAGTCAGCCTGCCTGCAGCTCCTGACCTCCTCCTATCTCCCCTCGTCCACTCTCCTCTCGAGGTTCCTGAAATGTCACCTGACCAAGGCCCCCGGGCTCCTTGCTGCTGACGTGGCTCAGCCAGCACCAGATGCAGGGTGCGCAGAGCGCTGGACCCCACAGGACCAGCCAGCCCAGTCCTCTACCTGTCTCTGAAAAACACTGGCTGGACACCTCCGCCCACTCACCGGCTGCTGCAGGTCCTCACCTATTACCTCACCCCCTGGGAGGGCCTGAACAGGGGCTGGAGCGGGGCAGACGGTCAGAGGAGGCGAGGTAGCAAGCCAAACGGAAGCCGGACCGTCCCCTCCCTCATTCTGGGCCCTCTGCCCCTGTTAACGCAGACTAACTACGCGTGGAGCATGGGGTGATGGGAAAAACTACGGGTACAGGGCTGGGGATGTGGCTCAAGCGGTAGCGCGCTCTCCTGGCACCACATACAAACAAAGATGTTGTGTCCGCCAAAAACTGAAAAATAAATATTAAAATTCTCTCTCTTTAAAAAAAAGAAACGAAAAGGAAAAACTACGGGTGCATTTCCTGTGTTCTGGGAAGACCCCGTAGCGTCACATAATGGATCTTTTTTTTTTTAACTGAAAAGGTTAGATTTTACTTTTTTTTTTTTTAATTTCAACTTGTAGTTTCAGTAAACAGCTCAGCAGGAAGAGAATCTGAAGGTAGAAAGCGCTCTCCTGGCGTTGGGCTGACCCAGTCATCAGCTTAACGTGGAACAGGACAGAGGCTGTGACTCACTGTCATGGACCTTGCATGGGACACAGACCTCCCTATGTCACCTCCCTGCTTGAACCCCCGTCTAACACCAGGATGAAGAGCACTCGATCCGCTGCACAGCCCTGGGTGTGGCCCCTTGTCAGCTTCTCGCTCCAGCTGGCCTCCCTCTCTGCTCCTTGAATGTGCCCTACTCTCTTCTGCCCCAGGACCTTTGCAGATGCTGTCCCATATGCCTGGCATGCTTTTCCCTTCCCCTGTGCCTAGCAAACCCTTATCCATCCTTCAGATTAGCTCCAAAGTCATCTCCTCTGGGCAGCCTTCCAGGCCAAATAGCCACTAGTATGAGCTGTGCCAGCTCAGAGCCAGCGTAGACCTCTCCCAGGACTCTCCAGGAAGAGCTGAAGTTGCACAGCAATGATTAGTGGGTGGTGAGCTCCACAGGAGCTGCTGCCCCCTCGCCCCAGACCCTTAAGGGCTAGTGGCAGAGTGAATGGAGGAGTCACTCAGCACATCACCAGGACTGACGAGGGCCGAATCACAGCCAGACTGCCCTGGAAGGGTCTTGCTTTAGAGAAGAGTTAACGTGGCCCAGAGTAGTCAAGAGAGCTGGCCCAGGCCACACAGCTAATCTGAGCTGGACCAGCTCTGAGAGTCACCCAGGAACATCGTCTCTGAGACTCTAATGAGCAGAGCAGGGGCCAGAGGTCCCAGGCGCAGGGCAGGGCCAGGAGCTGACCTGGGCTCCCAATCCAGCCGCTACCCGCCTCCCACCTGTCCCCCCCTGTGGAGGAGCCCACCAAGGCCCTGGGCCACTTGCCAGCACCCAGCCCACCATGGACCCTGGTCTCCCCACAACCCTGCCTGAGAGACAGTCCCTCCCCGCACCCTGCTGCGCCTCACCTTCTGCCGCGGAAGTACACGTACTCAAAGGGCAGCGTGCAGGGCAGGAGCAGGTACGTGAGCACCTTCCCGGGCCCCGACCGGCGGAAACGGGCCCAGGCACTGGGGTCCCTCCTGACAGCCTTCCTCAGTGCTGCAAGAGAGTCACCTCGTGGCTGTGGCCGTTTGGAACCCATGGGCTGGCAAGCCCACCTCCAGCCAGCCCTCCCAGGCACCCTGAGAGCTGGCAGCCCAAGCCCCTCTCTATCTCGTGAGGGTCACCCCACCCCTTTCTGCACAGATGGACACAACACCATTGGAGCCCAGCCATGTGCCAGCAGGGTGCCAAGCCCTTCACACATGCCCTCTCACTGATGTCCTGGAGATGGACATGGTGTGCCTCTTTCATAGACGAGGAGAATGAGGTTCAGAGTAGAAAAGTGACTTAACGAAGGATCATCACCAGATGGTGCTTGTAAGCACCCCACACCTCTCCCGGCCCTCTGGGTAGTCTGTCGTGGCCCCTTGGGTCCCCACCACACCTCCCTCCAGAGCAGTAGCACATGGCATATTAACCTCGGCAACAGCTGTGAACACAGCAACCATTTCCTAAGTCCCGTATTCACTGACCAGAGCCTAGATCCCAGCCTCCAGACTGCAGCGTGGGCCTGGGGGCACCAGCAGCCTCCACGCCAGCTAGGGCCAGCCCGTGTCAACACAGCCCCAAGACCTGCTCCACCCAGGACGAGTCCTTTTCCTTCCCTGAGCCCAGATAAAACCAGGACATGGGCACGACCTTCCTCCCGGGGCAGGTGGGTGAGGATCGAGGGATGTGGACAGGGGCCTGTGCTGTCATTTCCCTCTCGACTGGCTGCCCTGTGTGGCTGCAGGGACACTGCGAGGCCTGCAGATCCCAGGCTTGGACCTCAGGAGCTCAGCACAGAACCAGCACCATCCGGAACCAGGAAGAGGCACCTCCTCCCCGGCATCCTGTCCCTGCCCAGCCCTGGACCACCACCTCTCCTCCCAGCTCCCAGCCCTCTCCTCCACAGCTGGGCAGCCGCCCACCTGGCCACCCGGCCCCTTATCTCAGCTGCCCCCCCAACCACTGTGCTGGTGCCCCGTGGGCCTCCCAGGCCTCCCTGACCCTCGGGATCTCCTGGGTATCTGCTGCTCGCACCTTTGGAATCCTGGACTCACCCTTACCATCTGTGCCTACTTTGGGCTTTGTCCCTTCCTGTTGCTGAGATCGAGACGCTTAGTTAAACCAAAGGTGGGACTAAAAGGCTCAGAGCAGAGCCTCCCTCTGCCAGGAGCTGGCTGTGTCACCCGACAGGTCCCCCCCCTCGCTGCCCACCGCCCCCAGGGTGGCCAGGAGAGGCTCGAAAGCCGACTTCCTCACGGGAGCCCAGTGTCTCTCATACCCGCTGCCCTGCCCTTTCTCAAGCACAGACCTGAATTCGAATTCCCCTGCAGGCTCTGTGACCTCGCCCGGTCCCTGTCCCTGAGCTTCAGTTTCCCCATCCGAGAAAGGGGGTAAGAATGACGTGGAAGCCGGGGCGGGGCGGGGGTTTGTGGAGGAATGAGTGACGCAGCCCGTAAAAGGCCCTCCGCACACTTGGCACTTAGTAGGTGCTCATTAAATAAGTGCTGGCCCCTGTAGATCGCGCTACTTCATGGCAGGGTCCCTGGCCCCAACCCCAGGGCAGGAAGGGGCAGTACCAGCCTCCAGTTCTGGCGAGAGCTGCTCCAAGCTGGGCACGTCCTTGACCAACACGGTGGGCACATGGCAGTTGAAAGACACCCCGTCATCTGGGGTCCTAGCAGGGGGTGCTGGGGGATCCCTAGAGACCAACGTCCACAGCACGGGCTCCTTGGTGAGTCCTGGCCAGGGGAGGAAAGAGGACAGACAAGTCGCCCCCGCCCACACCCAGCTTGGGGAGCAGTCCCCTCCGCTCCCCGCTGCTCCGCTGTTTGCCCTCTCCAGTGGCTCTCCAGAGCCCGGACCCTGAAGACATGACTCAGGGTCAAACTCTGGCTCCACCGCCTGCAAGCTGCGTGACCCAGCCCCTCCGTGCCTCAGTTTCCCTCTCTGTGACAGTGAAACGAAGATCGGTCGGATGATAGAGTGGTTCTGAGAACTAGGTGCCATCAGGACACGACGCAGGCTGTGCTCGGCCGACGTCCACCTCCCCTTCCCCTCCGTGTGGGGCGCAGCATGGGGCTCGAGGACCTGTGCTGGGGTGACACCCAAGCTCTCTAGCCCAGGAGACCTTTCCCCGCCTGCGGTCAGTCCGAGCGCACCACTCTCTCCATCCCAGGCTGAGTCCACGTCTCCCCTGGGTTCCCACAGTCTGGAGCTTCCCTCCCTCTGCCACCGCACCCCCTCCCTGGGGTGTCTCTGCACCCGTTACTGTCACCCTGCACCAGGGACCTGCGTGATTCCTCTCTGGTCCCCAGGTGTCTCTGAGAGAGGATGAGAGCGCCCAGGTCCCTAGTGGCTCACAGGCCTGGAAGGCAGGGTCTGCCTGGCACCTGTGGGACACGAGGCCCACCACCATCCCCTGCCGCTCACCACGTGCCTCCAGGAACCTCAGGGCGTCCAGGTACCCTTGTCTGCAGCTGTCGGCCACCACCTGGACACACAGGGCAGGGCAAGTGGGCCAGGCCTGGGCTCACACGGGACAGCCCATCCCAGACTGGAGCCTGGAGTTCAGTGGGTGGTCTCCGTCCTGCCTACCCTCCCCAAGCAAACCCTGGGCAGGGCACAGGGACCCTGGGGACCCTGAGGGACTGAGAGACGCTGAGGGACTGAGGGACCCTGGGGGACCCTGGTACCAGGTAGGGAGGCAGATAGGGCTGAAGGCAGAACAGGTCTGCTCAGTCCCCCTGCCCCTGGCCCCACATCCTGCTCTCCTTGGGGACTCTTAGCTGCCAGTCCTTGCCCCAGCCTGCCCCTGGGCCTCAGGGCCCTCCCCAGGAAGATGGGGGAGCGAGGCCTGACTCTCGTAGGTCAGCAGATAGCCCTTCCCTTCGGCCCTTTGATGTTCATTTCCAGACTAGTCTGAGTGGGCAGAGGAACCAGGGCCCACACTGGCCTGGTCAGAGTGCCACGGGCAGGGAGACCGACCTGCAGGCTGGGATGGAGGCCTGCCCCCTCCCCTGCTTGCTGTGTGACCTTGGACCATCGTGCCGTCTCTGTGAGAGCCTCTATTTCCTTGTCTATACTCGGGAGCCGAGAGTTTCTGCCCACTCAGTGGTGTGGAAAGGACCTCGTGAGTGAGTTTTGTTTACCTTTGCTTTTTGTTTTATTTGTTTGCTTAGTTCTGGGGATGGGACAGCTACCTCCCCAGATGTTTTTATTTTTTTGAGACAGGGTTTCACTAAGTTGTCTAGGCTGACCTTGAACTTGAACCTGTGGTCCTCCTGCCTCAGCCTCCCCAGTTGCTGGGAGTACAAATGTGCACCACGGCACCCAGCCAGAGGACACAGCAAATGGACATGACCTTGTTGCACAAATCATGGAGCATGTGCCGGGCGTGGTTCGGGGGAGGAGCTTGTTGCAACAATCAACTGTTTGTTGTCAAATTATTCATTTCCCAGAAAATGCAAGGGTAAAAAGCAGGAAATGTAGGTTGGTTGTCCACTTTGTTGTGCTTCCCTATAGGACAGATGGCCAATACGGGCACAGTCCAGGGCAGCCGTGGAGACATGAGTCCAGACTGGCTGAGAGTCTAAATCTTAGCTGTGTGACTTTGAGCAAGTGGCTT